TGCCTTTCTTTCCCTCTAACTGGTGTTCATCATTCTTCTTTGTCAGACTGTCCTATATTCTTATTAATGTTGTGTTTCAAGCTAATTTGAAAAGCAGACGCCCAAATGATACAACAAATCAAGTTACGGGGACGCAAATCTGTTCTCAGTACAGGGACTGAGAAGAGATTTGTGAGACTGTTCAGTGTCTAAGGATAAGCCTGATTCGATGTGAGCACATATTTTTTAAAGACAAGATGTATGCTTTAAATAAGCATGACCACAGGAAACAATTTCTACAGTTTCAGCTTTTTAAATGCTTTTCCTTGTATAATTTTGTTGCCCCGCTTTCTACATCGTATCTCTCTCCTAAGGGGTTTTGCATCATTTAAATCCCTGAAGTAACAGATGCATCATATATATCAGCAGTAAACAGCTTGAAATGTTGGGGGGGCAGAAAGAAAACAAGAGATGTTTATTTGCATTACAGCTACTGTGAAATAACCATTGTGGCTATGCACATCATAGCTAATGTGGCTGTTCTACAACATGAACTAACCAGCCTGTGGTTACGTAAATAAGGTACACATTGTTGGGCACAGAAATAAGCACTCAGGTGTAATACTCATAGAATCACAGACTGGTTTGGGTTGGAAAGGACCTTCAAGATCACCCAGTTTCAAACCCCTGCAATGGGCAAGGACACCTTCCACCAGGCCAGGTTGCTCCAAGCCATGTCCAACCTGGCCTCGAACACTGCCAGGGATGGGGCAGCCACAGCTTCTCTGGGCAACCTGTGCCAGTGCATCAGCACCCTCACAGTGAAGAACTTCTTCCTAAGATCTAATTTAAATTTACCCTCCTACACACCATCCTGGCATGCTGGTAGACTGAGAGAATTCTATTTCAATCAAGACATTATACAACTGACCATATTCTACTGACTGGCAAACAAATACAAGTTTTGGTGATATTTTTGGTTCATTTGTATAACTCACTGAGCATTTATACATGTAAGAGAATTTACATGATGAAAATAAAAGTCCTTAAAAACACCTGTATAAGGATAGGAAACAAAAATAAACATTTAGTAATAAAATATCTTCTGAGGCATTCTCAAATTGTGTATCTTCAGTTGATAAAACAATTTTTAAATGTTTTATTTCCATACATTACTATGGATAGTAAATTTCTGTTTATATGAAAACAGAAAAATGTGAAATCATTCACGTTAAACAAGATTCTTTGTGAGATTCAGGAGCAGGATCATGCTCAGCGATTTGTTCCTGTGCAGTAAAGCCCCCTGGTGTCTCTGTTTCACAGTACAAACACTTCACAGCAGCCTCACTGCCGTAACACGTTCCAGAAATTTTTCTCATTGCCTGGGCAGCAATTGCAAACCACATTGCCATCAATCCAAACAAGTCACAGGGCAGATCATTAGGAGGTGGATTTTTGGGTCACTTATTTGTTATCCATAGGGAGAACAAGATTGAAAGCACAGGCTCTGTCTTACCCTCTGCGATGCGCAGGACCAAGCACCTTCTGCACCAACAGCTGATGTAAGAGACAGTGTTAGTGTTCAGGCACACGAAACCCTGTAGAGGGAAGGGAGTGGAACGGGAGAACAGCCCTTACCAACCCACGAGGTGTGACACAGGCAAGGGAGAGCAGGAATTCCTAGTGCTGTGCCATTCTCATAACTGTGTGCGTACTTCCCAGAGCTAAAAAGTGCAAATACAATGATCATCATCACCATCTCTTAGGCAGGGCTCATCCCTGCTCACCTCTCTCTGAGGCACAATATACTAAGGCCCTAACCCTGACAGTGTGGTAAGATATATTGTGAATATAGAGTAGATTTCTACAGGAAATTTTTCAATTTCCTCTTCCATTCTGGGCTAATTTGGGATTGTTCTTTCTATGCTTGCACCGTGTCTGTTGTTAATGACAGAGGAAAAGGAAAATAGAGCACAGAAATCAAAACACATGTTTGATCATTTTCTGGTAAATCCTCATACACCAGAGAGTGTGTATTTATGGAGCAATGCAGAAATGCTGGCATTTGGGTCCACTGCTCGTCTTTCTAAACTAAAAATGTAACCTTGGAAATCCACTCATTAACTCAAATCTAGTTTTCATTTATTTACATAATGCAACTCACAGCATCAAGTGCCTGAAGCTGGCATAAAGATGTACAGTAATTTCAAATATATGAACGTTCAAACAAATCCTATTCTTGCCCTCTAGCCATCCCTGTCCCTTTTCTACGGCCACTTCATAGAAACATAGAGTCACAGAATGATTTGGGTTGGAAAGGACTTTAAAGATCATCGAGTTCCAACTCCCTGCCATGGGCAGGGAGACCTCCTACAAGACTAGGTTGCTCAAATCCTTGTCCAGCCTGGCCTTGAACACTGCCAGGGATCAGGCGGCCACAGCTTCTCTGGGCAACCTGTGCCTCATCAGCCTCACAGTGAAGAATTTCTTCCTAATATCTAATGTAAATCTCCCCTCTGCCAGTTTAAAGACATTCCCCCTTGTCCTGTGAACTACATGCCCATGTAAAAAGTCAGATTTCTTGTCAGCCCCTTTAGGTGCTGGAAGCTGCTTTAAAGTCTTCCGGAGCCTTCTCTTCTCTAGGCTGAACCACCCCAACTCTCTCAACGTGTTGTCATTGCAGAGGCGCTTCAGCGCTTTGTGGCCTCCTCTGGACTCGCTCCAACAGTTCCACGTCCTCCCTAGAGCTGGATGCAGTACTGCAGGTGGCATCTCATGAGAGCAGAGGGGCAGGATCACCTCTTTCGACCTGCTGGTCACGCTCCTTTTGATGCAGCCCAGGACACAGTTGGCTTTCTGGGCTGCAAGTGGACACTGAAGCCAGCTCATGTTAAGTTTCTCATGGACCAACACCCCCAGTTCCTTCTCCGCAGGGCTGCTCTGAATGCAGTCTCCTCCCAGTCTGTATTTGTGCTTGGGATTGCCCTGCCCCTGGTGCAGGACCTTATACTTGGCCTTGTTGAACTTCATGATGTTTGCACTGGCCCACCTCTCGACCTGTCCAGGTCCGTCTGGATGTTATCCCTTTCCTCCGTCATGTCAACCACACCACACAGCTTGGTGTTGTCAGCAACTTGCTGAGGGTGCACTCAATCCCACTGTCCATGTCACTGACATGTTCACTTCTTTGTTGAACAAGCTTCCAAAGGAACCTGGAAACTAATGGCAGGAATTTCTCTTCCACAAACCCTTGCCAGTAAAACCACATAAAAGACTGTATTTTTTGAGAGAAACAGCTCATGGAATTTTACTTTGTATCCTATCATACATAGATATCCACCTATAGTGCATCACAGGCCATTGAATTTAATCTAAAATCCATTTATTGAGTTCAGAAATTTTTCTGGGACAGAAGCAAACTCTGCATTTAAATAATATGTCCCTGAAAGTCACCAAGTTGCAAGTGGAAGATACACACAGAGGATATGCTCTATTGGTAGCTTGTTCGGGTATCAGTCAAACTCACAGCTGTGTCTTACATGTGTCAATCCATCCACGGCTCCCGTTAAACCTCCCTTCACTCATGTAAAGAACTCTTCAGCTCTGATGTTTTCCTCTCTAAAGGCACTCATGCAGTATACCCAAGTCACCCCCTAGTGTTCTTTCAGTAACTTTGAACTATTTACATATTTGACCTTGTAACCATTTCAAGCATTTTTTTCACGCCTTTGGCACCTGTTTAAGGCATCTTTTCCAGTCAAAAGTATGGGTTTCAAGAGCTGGATAATCAGACTGCTCTGCAGTACTACGTAGTGACAAACTGGCACGGTCTTACCATATAGTTAACTTTAAAGTGGCCTCAGAGACTTGTAAGAGGTTAAGCCCGATGCAATAAATCAGGGCCACAGAAGACGATTCTGTGATTCTAAGATGCACTGGAGTAGCTCTGTAATATATTTATAAGCTGCCTTCAGCCAAGGAGGAAAAAAACACCAAACCCAAACAACAAAACAAACAAAACCACAACAGAAAACAAATGACAAAACAAATAGAACCATTGAATGGTTTGGGTTGGAAAGGACCTTAAAGCTCATCCAGTTCCAAGCCCCCTGCCATGGGCAGGGACACCTTTCACTAGACCAGGTTGCTCCAACCCCTACATACAACCTGGCCTTGAACACTGCCAGGGATGGGGCAGCCACAGCTTCTCTTCGCAGCCTGTGCCAACGCCTCAGCACCCTCACAATAAAGAGCTTCCTAATACCTAATCTAAATCTCCCCTTTCAGTTTAAAACCATTCCCCCTTGTCCCATCCCTACATGCCCTTGTAAAACGTCCCTTTCCAGATTTCTTGCAGGCACATATTCCATTTTGCATCTTTATCTTTCGCAGAAGGACCCAAGTAACTGTTGACACTTCCAGGCTATGCGCCCAGGCCACGGCCACGTCTGCCGACCCGCAGGAGCCACCTACGCTATACCCTCCTGCCGCAAGGGGCTGAACCGACCCCTGGTAACCAGACCAGGCCAGTCACCGTGCTGGTGTCCAGACACCCCTCCCGCGATGGGGTACTCCTCTCGGCGGGGCAGGGTACCGTGGGCTAGAAGTGTCACACGGCCCGTGACCACCGGCACCGCCGGGGCCACCGCTACAGCTCCCCGGAGCAGGTGCCGGCCTCAGGCGACCCGGCAGGCAGCGGCGGGTGAGGTGAGACAGGTGACGGGATATACGTCACCGCGCCGCCCCACTGCCTCCCGGGAGTTGTAGTTCTAGCGCCCGCTTCTCGGGGGTACCGCCCGCTGGGCCGCAGCGCTCTGCGTGCCCGCTAGAGCGCGGGGTGCGGCCACTTGGGTGGCGGCCGGCCCGGCAGGCGGGGCCGGTTACTGCTGGAGAAGGGAGGGCGCTGCTCTCCGCAGCGGGGCTCCGGGTCACGCCCAGCCGGAGCTGCGCTGAGCCGCCGGGTGCGCGGGGTTGCCGGCCCCGGCGGGGAGGAAGCGGAGCGGGCGGGCTGCTGTGGGAAAGGGGGAGTATCAGCGCAGGCGGGCCCGCGCAGGGAGCGGCGAGGCGGACGGCTGGGTTTGGATCCTCTCTGCGCCCGGTGCCCCGCTAGAAGAGCCCCACAACGTCTCCCCGGTGCTCGCCAGAGGCGCTTGGGCAGGCATCTCCGTGGAGCTCGGCCTCCGCCAGGGCGCGGTACGAGGGCGTGAGGTGAGGCCCGGGCAGGTGCGGAGGGACCGTGAGGAGGGAGGTGGCTGGGGCGGGCCTCACCGGTGGCAGCACGACTTGAGGTGCCGGTGTGGAAGTGGTGGAGGGCTAGTAGTTTGGGCACAGGCCAGTGGGCATCTTGCTGCTTTTGCTTTTCCAGGTGGACTGGGGAGAGCACAGAATGGCTGGTGTATCACAGGAGGCTGCCCAGGTGGCCCAGGAGGCTTAGAACCGTGGTGTATCTTATGAGGCACGGTATCATCTCCCGTAAGTGTTGCCCAGCAGCGTGCATGTGTTCACTAAAGAGTGAACAGCCAGTATTTTGATTTCCTGCAAGTGGTGGTTGCTGAACAGGGTTGGGATCAGTCACACTGGAGTTTATAGGAGAGCCGGGTAGCTGGTGAAGTTAATTGTAAAGTATGTTGGATGCTGTCTTAGCAAGAGCAAGATCCAGTGTACTTGAAATTACCCCCGACAGATGTTTACTTAACTGGCTCTTACAGATAGTAAAATTCATGGAGTGCCTTCTTCCATCCTCCAAGGTAACCTGCTTCAGTGCTTAGCTATCACGTATAGTTAGAATTTTTCCTTAATAGCTGACCCAAATCTCCTTTGTTGAAACTAAGCTGATTATTATCTCTCACTATCCAGAGCAGACCTGGAGAACAAGGGGGTCAGTGTTCTCTTGTCAGCAGACTGGTGGGTATATGCAAGCTTCCACTCACATTCTCCTCCAAACTGAGTGAACTTGCTTCTTGTGTTTCTCTGGTCCCTGAGCTCTGTTAAGCATCTCCATCATGCTTGGACTATTAAACTCAGAACTAGGCACAGGATTCCAGTGAAGATACTGTTACCTCTGTGGAAGTGGGGCCAATATCTCCCTTGAGTATGGCATCCCTATTAAAAACATTCCAGAATGATACTCTCTTACTTGGCAACATTTTCACATAAGTGAAACATTCAGTATGTGATCCAAATTGATTTGTAAGCCAGATTCTTTTTGCTATACTGCTATCTGGGGAGTTATTACTCAGGAGATATCAAGGCTCTGGGTTTTTTCTTTGCTAAGTATACCATTTTGCACTTGTTATGAGTTTGAGAAGAAGCTGTTTTGATTATCATTACACGACTTTTTCTGTCTAATTTTAGTCTCTGAAATCTTTCCCAATCTTCTTCCTCCAAGTTTGGGATCACCCACAAATAGTTAATTAAAATACCAAGTAGTGCCAGGCCCTGCACGTTGTGATAAGCTTTTCCAGTTCGACTTTCTCAAACACTGTCTTCTTCTTTGTCATATTTCTTACTAAAGCTGCAACTTGTGCTGTGGTTTGCAGCTGAGTCAAATCCTATGGAGAATCTTAAGTGACAAAACCATCAGTTCCTTTGAATTGGCTTCTGTGCACAGAGCAGGGATTGCTCACAGCTAAAAACTAGAAATATGTGTGAAATCCTGAACTTTTCTGAAGTTTTGGTGTTTTGCATGTGGTTTCTGGATGTCTCTGGTTCCAGGTTACAGAGAATAATTATTGCTGGCAGCTTCCCATTCTCCTTTTTGAAGCTATTATGTAGAAAAGACTAATCAGGCAAATCACGTAGTCCGTCTTTCAAAAAGAGTGGAATGAAATTTTTCTGTGGTTTCATTTCCTTCCTATGAACCAGTAATTTCTACTTGCAGGACAATATGAAAATAAGTACTCTTAAAGCAATATCCAAATTATGAAAATGTTTCCAGAATTACTGCAGATACTATATATATATATATATATATATATAAATAAAAGGCATTTAAAAGTGTCTGTATAGTTTTGTATGGATATGTGGGTATGTGGAAATACCAGGCTGCAGGCACAATCAGCTGCTTACTGCTTTCATCCCTTCTACCCGACAAACAGTAGTGAGCTATAAAGTGGTTTGTGAGCTTTGACAGAAAGGTGCTTAGGAAAATGGAAAAAAAGGGATAATCACTGCATTGGAGGATGTTAAAGACTGAGAGACATTCGTATGCTGTCATAGTATGGCTGGTGCTGGAGGTAGATGGGTCTGTCCCTCTCCTGTGTTATAAGTTATTTTAAATTCTTTTCTCATTCATTTCCTAAGAAAAACCATGCTTTGATCCTAACTTTCTTCAAAACTGCATTTGCTTTTGTAGAGAGCTTTCTGGAATAAGGATACAGGTGCCTTGTTCTCACCCACTGTAATACAGGATCAGATTTGTAGATAATGCATTAATCCTTGGTTGTACTTGTAAGGAATTACATTATCTGAGCATAAGACAGCCCATGAAGCTGAGAGTGAGAGCTGATATTTTGAGACTTTTTAATGCTGATGTCATTCAGAAATACTGAGAAGCAGCGCCCTGTTGATGTGAATAGAAGGACTGGTCTTGTGGTGGAAATGCAGTAGACTGAGCCTGTGTCAACAGCAGAGGGTTTTCCTTAGAATTGTGTTTCATTGTAGAAACATCATAAACAAAAAAAAACCTTGGGGATTCAGCACAGGTGAACATTATGTGTGTATTGACTTTACTGGAAGGAGGAGCCCAGCACTGGTAGGGTCACAGTCTAAATGCTCATATAGGTACTGGCCTCTGTCCTCTACAGAAAAATTTATCCCTACAAAATAAATTTGTTTTTCTTTATATTCTGATTTATTCAGATGTCTCACATGAAAAATCATGGAGCTGGGAAAGGCAAAGCTTCTGAGAACTGGCCTTAATGCCTTATATCAAGCAATTCACCCTGTGCATGGCATTGCCTGGACAGATGGGAAACAGGTGATACTGACTGCTTTACACCTTCATAAAGGAGACCCAGAATTTGGTGACTCGAGTGTTGTCGGTCAGTTTGAACACGTCCATGGACTCTACTGGGGCCCGTGTCCCCCTGACGCCCCAGCTCTGCTTGCTGTGCAACACAAAAAGCATATCACCATTTGGCAGCTCTGTTTTAATGCTACAGAAAGAAATAAGCTCTTGGTATCTCAGATATGTGACATCAGTGAGCCGTTCCCAGTGCTCCCCCAGGGCTGTGTGTGGCATCCCAAGAAGGAGATCCTGGCTGTGCTAACTACACAGGATGCTTCTGTCCTACACTCTGTTCACCTCAACAGCTCCAGAGTTAATGCAGATATTAAAGGCAGTGGCCTCATCCACTGCGCTTGTTGGACAAAGGAAGGCAATCGCTTAGTGGTGGGAGTAGGCAGTGCCCTTCATTCTTACATTTGGGATGATGCTCAGAAAACACTGAGTGCTTGTTCTTTTTGCCCAATCTTTGATGTGGGAGGCTACGTCTGCGCTGTGGAAGCTACTCTGAATTTCCAAGTTGCTGTTGCTACTGAACTTCCTCTGGACAAGATCTGTGGCTTAAATGCTGGTGTGGCATTTGAAGTTCCAGCCAGCATTGAAACAGAGTCCTTCCCCTCGCAGTCCAGCTTATGTGGTGAGGAAGAGTATTCCATGGATGGGGGGAAGAAGTCGCTGGACTCAGAGAAGCCCCTGTCTGTTGTTGCATCCCCTGTGGATCTAACTCACATACTTTCTAGCAAGCAGGGCACTGATTCCAGTCCTCTTCTGCATCTGCGGCCTAAGGACTACCTAACGGGAAGTGGCCAGGATTCTTCACATCTCATCTTGGTGACATTTGAAAGAAAGGTTACCTCTACCAAAAAAGTTAGCGTCCCAGGCATTCTGGTTCCTGATATAATGGCTTTTGACCCCAAAACTCAAATTGTATCAGTTGCCTCCAATACTTGTAATGTTATTTTAGTCTATTCACTGACTTCATCCAGTTTACCCAATATTCAACAAATTCAGCTAGAGAAAAATGAAAAACCAAAGGGGCTGTGCTTCTTGACCAATAAATTGTTACTAATACTGGTTGGAAAACAAAGATTCACTGACCCTGCATTTCTTCCCTCTTCAAGATCAGACAAATATATGATACGACTGATGATTAAGGAACTAATATTTGAAATGGGTCCTTCAACATCAGCATCAGTTAATGGGAGCTCCAGTTTGAACCTTTCCAACATACAGCATGATCTCTCTAGAGACATACACCCTCTCAGCCGTGGACTCTTGATGCCAGATCGTGCTGCCATTCGGTCCCCTACCAGCAAAAGGAAACTCATTGAAGAAATTAAGAGTCCTGTTTATGAACAGAGTTTGTCGAACATGAGTGACCTGAAAGATAAGATTTCCATGAGTTGTTCTCCAGCAGTTGAGTGTCTTGACGCTGAACCAGTTAATCGAGCAGCAGCACTGTCTGCCACATCCCTGGCATCCTCTGTCAAGCCAACATCTCCAAAAAGACAGGCAGATGCAGCTTTCAAAGTACCCAATTCTTACAAGAACAACTTATTATGTGAAAAGGAAGCAAGTTACTTTTCAAAAAATGTAGAAAAACTGTCTGGTAACTTCACAGAATTACAGCATCATCTCTGTGAATTAACTGAGCTGCTAAAATCTGGGAAGAGAAATCTTCCAATATACCCATCTTCTCAGGAACCCTCTTTTATTAACATCACCTGCCAGGTAATTTTAATATTGGAAGCCTTAATGATAAAAAAATCTGTTTATGGATGTCTGTTCTTTCTACAGATTTAAAACATGAACTCCTGTCAGACTGTGTGCAGAGAGGATGACATCCTATGAATGTTTAGTCTGTGCAAATCAATATCTATGAATGATTTCAGTGCATGCAGGTGAATCCAACAGGAGGCTTATTCAGCCTGTTCAGCATGGAGAAGACTCCAGGGAGACCTGAAGGGAAGCTTCCAGTACCTAAAGGGGCCAGCAAGATATCTGGAGAGGGACTTTTTACAAAAGCATGTTAGGGATAGGACGAGGGGAAATGGCTTTAGGCCGAAAGAGGGGAGATTTAGATTAGATGTTGGGAAGAAACTGTTCTCTGTGAGGGTGCTGAGGTGCTGGCACAGGGTGCCCAGAGAAGCTGTGGCTGCCCATCCCTGGCAGTGTTCAAGGCCAGGTTGGATGGGGCTTTGGGCAACCTGGTCTAGTGGAAGGTGTCCCTGCCCATGGCAGAGGGGTTGGAACTAGATGATCTTTAAGGTCCCTTCCAATCCAAACCATTCTGTGATTCCATGATGACTGTTCTTTCCTGGGCAGCCAATTCTGTTAATTTTAGAAAGAAGCTGAACTAACACAGGTAATGGGGACATTTTTCTTGCCAGAAAGAAAAGTTGTTCAAGTCGCGTAGCTCAAATTAAAATTCCAGTCGGAAAAACTAAGAGATCAGTGTCTACCAGAGTGCCTGCTGTTATCACTGGGTGTTATCACACAGTTCTGGGTTGTGCCACAGCATAGGAACAGTAATCTGAGCAGACAGCAAGCACCACATGCCCTCCTTGTTTGTGGATGGGTCTGTCCACAGCATGGAAGAGGAGTCAGAATTTACTCCATTGTGTTTTTGTCATGACCTGGAGGCATTATCAAAGCTTCCCTGGGAACTGATATGGTTGTGTGGATTTTATCCAACATGGAGCTTACAGTTCTGGTAACAACTGCTCTGTGGCAGGTTTTAAAAAGGCTTTGCTCTGCCCTGTGGTGGGTGTGCTTTGAAGACACTTCTTGATTTTAAGGCTTGGGGCAGTGATGGTCAGAGGTGAGGCAGAGAAGCCCTTCTGATTTGTCAGTCTGTTCCTCATCCCAAACATTCATGGGCAGGAGTTCTCACGTCTTCTGAAGCTGTGGATCAGGGAGGTGGGAGGATGGAAAACCTGCAGCTTTACAGACTGCCCAGGAAAATGTCCCTCACAGATGGTGGGAAGCTCATGGTTTCTTCAGCAGCAGTGTAGGATTTCCTATCCGTTGTTCTGACACATGCTGAGTTAGCACAGCTACTTGTTACCATCACTCACAGATTGTCATTTTGAGAGCTGAGGCATTGGAGTATAAATCTTGCACATGGATCTGAATCAATGTAGCACTTGCCTTTCTGTAAATGCTGCAGTTGAAGGGATCCTGTTTTGATTAATGCTGTTTTGCTGTCTCTGCTTAAATATGCATCATGGTATCTAATGATTCTTTCTTTCTTTACAGAAGCAGCTTTCCAGAAGTGATTCAGATGAAAGACGAGCTGTTATTCTTTGTGGTGGCAAACTCCATTTAAATACAGTCCAGCAGATATTTAATCTCTCTCTTGTAGAAATGCAACACGGTACGTTGTAATTATCCAATAATACAACCACTTTAAACACAGGCAACATTCTCAGGGAGCAGTAGCAATATGCATCATCCCATCTGGAAAAAAAACCCAAGGAATAAATAATGAAAGATTACTAATAAACAGTTTTCTCATTTGGTTTATAACATGAAGATTCTTCTCTGGGCTTTTACTTTTTACATCTTAAAAAAATAGCCCAGTTTTACATATTGATACTCCCTTATCAAATAGCTGTGCAGGAAAATTAATGTCGCCCAGTATTTTTATTTATGTTTTCAGCTATTCTAAATAATGAAGTCTGAGTAGTGAGGAGGTTAGAGTTGACTGGTGGCTTTGGAATACAGTTTTCTATGTTTTAATCTGTAGTTCCAGCATCTGGTCTCCTTTAAGAAATCTTGTTGTTTTTTATAAACACAAAAGTGACTCTATAACTTCTAGCAGTATGTTTCACTTCTGGTTTTGCTGTGAAGAGAACTACCTTTCTATTGCTGTCATCTTCTCTGCTGTTCTCTGTTCATCCCATGTGTCTGGGTATGTGTCAATTCTGTCTCTTACTTCTGGCAAAGGTAGAGCATATACTTTTGGAACATGGTATCTCACTACTACAGATATTCTCTGTACTACAGATATTCCAGCTACCTGCCTTTGGTGTCTGCTGTATGCTCAAGATTACTGAGCAACTGTCCCTATGCTGTGGCATGACCCAGAACCGTGTGATACACCCAGTGATAACAGCAGGCACTCTGGTAGACACTGATCTTAGTTTTTCAGACCGGAATTTTAATTTGAGCTACGCGACTTGAACAACTTTTCTTTCTGGCAAGAAAAATGTCCCCATTACCTGTGTTAGTTCAGCTTCTTTCTAAAATTAACAGAATTGGCTGCCCAGGAAAGAACAGTCATCACGGAATCACAGAATGGTTTGGATTGGAAGGGACCTTAAAGATCATCTAGTTCCAACCCCTCTGCCATGGGCAGGGACACCTTCCACTAGACCAGGTTGCCCAAAGCCCCATCCAGCCTGGCCTTGAACACTGCCAGGGATGGGGCAGCCACAGCTTCTCTGGGCACTCTCATGGTAATAAATTTCTTCCTTCTATCTAACCTAAATCTCTCCCACCATCCCCCAGTCATCCTATGACGAACCTTGCTAGATACATTTTAAAAGCAAGCAGTGTTGCCATCATTTTCTTTATTAATTTTACAAATGTTACTAGATAAATGGGCAAAGTAGGAATGGTATTTTCAATTTCCCAAATTGTACTGATTTTCAGGTTTGGTCCAAATGAGTTAGTAAGCCAAAAGATTAAGGAGTTGCATGCTTTTAAGATACAATCTTCTCATGACCTTACTTGTGACATGAATTACATAATGTAAATTTGCAAACAGCTGGAAACATTTCTCTGAATTCCCTCACCCTCCCTGAGCTCAATTTTATTTCTTCACCAACTAATGGTTACAAGTGTGAAAATTTTCTGGTTTCTGTGACTTGGTAGAAATCAGTGTTTTGGATTCAGTAAACAATTTCAAATGGTAAAAATAATGCTAACGGTCATGTGAAGTCAAACAGCCAAGGGACCAGAGACAAGGGTTTTGTACAGTGCAGGACAATATTTCTTCCTTGCATTTCTTGGAATTAAATGTATGGAAATTACATAATAGAAGCAGTTTCTAAATTGTTTTTATTATCTTCATTTGTCATTTAATACATTTTTCCTGTTCACAGTATCTGCACAGATTAAGAAATGTGAAGTAGCTTATAAATACCTACCTAAAACAAGTCTTATGGATTCTAGTCAGAATTTCATTCCTCTTCCGTATTTGAAGTCTCTGTCTATTATAGTCTCATCTCCAATTGGTCAAGGAGGTATTTCACATAGTTGTCAACTGCCCTGTAGGTTTGAGATTATGCAACCTGTATCTCCACATACTTTCTTTTCCTCCATGCAGAAGCATGTTTAATTTTAGAAGTAATGTGTTTTATATCTCAAACATACCTAATTACATGAAAACTTACAAACAGACGTTTTCATGTCTTCACAGGTTCATCTTGGATTGTTCTCACCGCGGACAGCGAGGGCTTTGTTCCGCTGCTGTTTACATCCATGCAGGAGATAGTGGTGAGAGATGCCAGTGCAAAAGGCTATGGTTCCCGTTCTTCCAAAACTTTGGACATCATCAGTTCCACAGAAAGGTGCAGACCCGCTTCTTCAGAAAGTCTGGATATCACAAGTTCCTTGGAAGTCCTCATAGACTGCTCCTCCAAGGCGTTAGATGACTGCAGTCCTTCAAAACAGCCCAGCAGTAAAATGTGATTTCTGATGCTGATTTTGTAATGCCTGTCTGACAGTGGGAGAGTTTTGAACTCCTTGTATAGGACTGCAGTTCTGAACAGAAGTCTGTCTCAAATCTGTTGGATTTCCATAGGGGTTTTTGTTGCAAATTATTTATTTCATTCTTGGAACCTTTTTTATACTAAGCAGTGTTTTTTTTTAATGAGCCTCTTGCAGAACAGACCAGTGACTGAAAATACACATTCTTAGAAGCTTCTGAGCTAAATTTTCCATCTTGGACTTTGCTATGTTGGTGGTTTTAGATGAGAGTAAACTTCCATAATAAATTCTTGGAAAACACTGCATTGTTTTCGCTTTCTTCACTTCTGTCAAAGCCTGAAACAAGACACGTGTTATTTAGGAACAGGGCCCCCAGAAGTGCATGTGTTTTGCACCAGTGTTACTAAGGGTGTAAGCACTAGTTCAGGTGTACAGAGTTTGGAACAACATAGGATCACGTGGGATATCCCGAGCGTGTAGAAGACCCTTTTCCCTTCTGTGCTTACCGATCATGCCTCTCCTTCCTTGCTTCTCTGTGTGGATTTGGGGAAGTGACTTCACATTTGTCATCTTCTGTGGTGGTTGGAGCCCAGCTGGTGGCTGAGCTTCTGTGCGGGATAGGGAGACAATTAGAAGGGCAAAAGCAAGAACTCATGGGTTGAGATAAAAGCACTTTAATAGATAAAATAATCTGCATGTACAAGTAAACAAGAAGTTTATTCAGCATGTCCTTTTGGCGGGCAGCTGTCCAGCAGCTTGTGGGAAAGCAAGGTCCATCACGTGTAACTGTTGCTTGGCAAAACAAGTGCCATAATTCTGGATGGCCTCCCTCACAACTTTTATTACTGAGCATGATGCCATATGGGACATCCCTAGGGTCAGCTGTCCCGGCTTTGTCACCTATGAGGGTTTTGGGCACCCCCAGCCTACTCGCTGGTGGGCCAGAGCAGAACAAAGAGGAAGCCTCAGTCTTGATGCTGCGTGAGCAGTAGCCAAAACATCAGGATGTTGCCAGCCCTGCTTTGGTCACAGATCCAAAGCACCCTAGAGGCTGCGGTAAGGGAAACCAACTCCATCCCAGCCAGACCCAGTATGTCATTATAGGTGTAAAATGTATCAAGCATAATGCTGATGGTAACAAGAATTTAATTTCCAATGCAGAAAATTTTGAAGAGGGATGTGCAAGCAGGTGGAAGCCACCATGGTCTAACACAGGGGGATGGGGGCAGGAACTGGCAGAAGCTGCAGCTCAGGCTGTTGTCTCTTGCTAAGATATCACTGGTAAATGAACTGCTTTTTCTATTTAGCTGAGCTGTAATATGGGTTAATAACAACCTTTATATAGGTGATGTGGGGCGTAATGCTCCAAGTGTACCAGGTATTAGTTATGAATAAATGCACTGGGACAACCAGCTAACTTCTTCCAGACAGTTCACCAAAAGGGTTAGAAAAGATTACATGAAAAGAAACACTGCAGAAATTTTCTGAAGGGAGAGACTATTGTAAGACTTTGAGACTGGTTTTTATATAACTATGATATGAAATTCATATGAGGTATATGATTGGCCACTGTGCACTAGGCTGCTGCTGGCTGTACCTGCCAGCATGAGACTTGGAACTAACTTGCTTTTTCCTCATCTTCAAAGAGCTGGACAGCAAATACCAGGTGTTAGAGGACCTGAGTTTCCCTTAAGGAAACTCTTCTCTAAAGAAGACATTTAATTTTGCAGTTTGTATCTAGACCCAGAAAGGCAAGTAGAAAAGGAGATGAACAAGTGATACTTGGAAACAACCTGTGAACCCAAAAAAGCAGGGTTTGGCTTTAAAGCATTGTCCACTTCAACTATTTTCCTTTGAATGCAGAAGGTGAACAGAGATGAGAAGATGCAGCTGGGATTGAATCTACCAGAGATTCTTACATGGTGCAGGAATGAATTAAGGAATTAGTACTCAAATCTACAGAGCCCTGCCTGAAAACCCAGTGACTTGGCACTGAAGGTCCCAAACTTCTGGACTCCCTGGAACAGATATCCAAGGTGATACTCACCCCTCAAAGTCAGGGACTCAGCAGAAGTGATCTAATCCACCCAGGGGCAGGCAGGACACAGCCAGGCAGCAGACACGGCTGTGGTGGGTGCTGACAACAATGCCTCCCTCAGTACCTGGGAGGGGATGACAGCTCGCCTACCTGGGCAGCTGCAACCTGTAGCGTGATAGGTCACCAGCAGAATACTCAGAAAGCTGGTATAACCTTGATGAGTTTCAGCATTGATTTTAGGCAGGAACTACAAGGGGGGTCAACCCTTCCTGCCCTGCTTCCCCAGGTGTCCCTCCGTAATAGGTTCGAGGCCCTGGATCTTGAAGGGGAGGTAGGTGAGAATGTGGGGCAAGGCCAGCCCACAAGGCCACATAGGAAAAGGCGGTCGACTTTGCACCTCAAGACTGCCTCTGTTAAGAAAGAAAGAAGGGTCATTGTAGTAGGGGATTCCCTTCTGAGAGGAACAGAGGGCCCGATATGCAGAGTTGACCCTCATCATAGGGAAGTGTGTAGTCTGCCTGGAGCCCGGATCAGGGATATCACCAGGGCGCTCCCCAGCCTGGTGCACCCGACGGACTACTACCCGCTGGTGGTCTTCCAGACAGGTGGGGAGGAAGCTGCTTCCCGCAGTCTGAGGGGGATGAAGAAAGACTACAGGGCCTTGGGGCGGATGGTGAAAGAGTCTGGGGCTCAAGTGATCTTCTCCTCACTCCTTCCATCTTCCACTGATGATGTGGGAAGGAATGGGAAGATTCAGTTCATAAACAATTGGCTTCGAGACTGGTGCTACAGGCAGGGCTTTGGATTCTTTGATAACAGCTGGTTTTATAGGGCACCAGTCTGGACAATGGCATGTGAGAAAGGTTTGTCTCACAGAGGCAAAAGGATGCTGGGACATGAATTAGCAGGGCTCATTTGGAGAGCTTTAAACTAGATTCGAAGGGGGATGGGGTTGTAGCTGGGGTTGCCGCAGTGGGGCAGCACTCCAGAATTGATGAAGACTGGGAGGCCTCCTATAATCCTAGGGTGACATCGGTGTGCTCAGCTCGCTCCCTGGAATGTCTGTACACCAATGCGCGCAGTATGGGAAATAAGCAGGAGGAGTTGGAAATCTGTGTTAAGTCAGGAGACTATGATCTGGTGGCAATTACAGAGACGTGGTGGGACAGCTCACATGACTGGAATACAGTCATGGAGGGCTATGTCCTTTTCAGGAAAGACAGGCCAGCCAGGCGGGGTGGTGGGGTTGCTCTTTATGTGCGAGAGCAGCTACAATGCACCGAGTTCTGTTCAGGGACAGATGACGAGCGAGTTGAGAGTCTGTGGGTGAGAATTAAGGGGCAGGCTGGCAGGGGCGATACTGTTGTGGGTGTCTGTTACAGACCACCGGATCAGGGTGAGGAAGTTGACGAGGCCTTCTACAGGCAGCTGAGAGAGGCCTCACAGTCGCAGGCCGTGGTCGTCATGGGGGATTTTAACTTCCCTGATGTTTGCTGGAAGGACCACTCGGCAACCCAGCCGCAGTCCAGGAGGTTCCTCCAGTGTATGGATGACAACTTCCTCCTGCAAATGGTGGATGAGCCGACCAGGAGAGGAGCGCTGCTGGATCTCATCCTCACTAACAAGGAGGATCTGGTCGAAGCAGTAAGGGTTGAGGGCTGCCTTGGTTGCAGCGACCACGAGATGGTGAAGTTCAGGATCTTGTGTGGTAGGACTAGTAGAATACCAAGTAGAATTGCAACCCTGGACTTTAGCAGGGCAAACTTTGGCCTTTTCAAGCAATTGCTAGGGGAAATCCCATGGGCAAGGCTGCTTGAAGGTAAAGGGGCCCAAGATAGTTGGTTGACATTCAAGGACTGCTTTTTCCGTGCTCAAGATTGGAGCATCCCGACACGTAGGAAGTCAAGGAAGAGGGCCAGGAGACCTGCGTGGATAAATAGGGAATTGCTAGGTATGCTCAAGTGGAAGAGGAGAGTTTACAGGTCATGGAAGGAGGGGCTGGCCACTTGGGAGGAATATAAGGCTGCTGCTAGAGGATGTAGGAAGACAGCTAGGAGGACTAAGGCCTCCTTAGAATTAAACCTGGCGAGAAGGGTCAAGGACAGCAAAAAGAACTTTTTCAAATACATGGCAGACAAAACTAACACCAGAGGCAGTGTAGGCCCACTGATGAACGGGATGGGTGCCCTGGTGACAGAAGATACAGAGATGGCAGAGTTACTGAATGCCTTCTTTGTCTCTGTCTACTCTGCTGCAGGCAGTCCTGAAGAGCCCTGTACCCCTGAGACCTTAGATGAAGTCAGGTCGACGGAACGGTTTGCCTTAGTCGATGAGGAATGGGTTAGAGACCAGTTGAGCAATCTGGACATCCATAAATCCATGGGTCCAGATGGGATGCACCCGCGGGTGCTGAGGAAACTGGAGGAAGTCATTGCTAGACCACTCTCCATCATCTTTACCAAGTCCTGGGAAATGGGAGAGGTGCCTGAGGCCTGGAGGAAAGCAAATGTCACTCCAGTCTTCAAAAAGGGCAAGAAGGAGGACCCGGGTAACTATAGACCGGTCAGCCTCACCTCCACCCCTGGGAAAGTGATGGAACACCTTGTCCTTGGTGCCATCTTAAAGCATATCAAGGATAAGAGGGTTATGAGGGGCAGTCAACATGGCTTCACCAAGGGTAAATCATGCTTGACCAATCTCTTAGCCTTTTATGAGGAAATAACACGGTGGATGGATGATGGCAGAGCGTTGGATGTGGTCTACCTTGACTTCAGCAAAGCATTTGACACAGTCTCCCACAGCATCCTCACAGCTAAACTGAGGAAGTGTGGACTGGCTGATCAGGTAGTGAGGTGGACTGCGAACTGGCTGAAGGAGAGAAGCCAGAGAGTTGTAGTCTATGGGGCTGAGTCTAGTTGGAGGCCTGTAACTAGTGGAGTGCCTCAAGGGTCAGTACTGGGACCGGTATTATTTAATATATTCATCAATGATTTAGATGAGGGAATTGAGTGTACTATCAGCAAGTTTGCTGATGACACTAAGCTGGGAGGAGTGGCTGACACGCCAGAAGGCTGTGCTGCCATCCAGCCAGACCTGGACAGGCTGGAGAGTTGGGCAGGGAATAACTTGATGAAATATAACAAGGGAAAGTGTAGAGTCCTGCATCTGGGCAGGAACAACCCCAGGTTCCAGTATAGGTTGGGAAACGACCTGTTAGAGAGCAGTGTAGGGGAGAGGGACCTGGGGGTCCTAGTGGACGACAGGATGACCATGAGCCAACACTGTGCCCTTGTGGCTAAGAAGGCCAATGGCATCCTGGGGTGTATTAGAAGGGGGTGGTTAGTAGGTCGAGAGAGGTCCTCCTTCCCCTCTACTCTGCCCTGGTGAGACCCCATCTGGAATATTGTGTCCAGTTCTGGGCCCCTCAGTTCAAGAAGGACAGGGAGCTGCTGGAGAGAGTCCAGCGCAGGGCAACAAAGATGATTAAGGGAGTGGAGCATCTCCCTTATGAGGAAAGACTGAGGGAGCTGGGTCTCTATAGTTTGGAGAAGAGGAGACTGGGGGGTGACCTTATTAGTGTCTATAAATATATAAAGGGGGAGTGTCACGAGGATGGAGCCAGGCTCTACTCAGTGGCAAACAATGATAGGACAAGGGGTAATGGGTACAAACTAGAACACAAGAGGTTCCACTTAAACTTGAGAAGAAACTTCTTCTCAGTGAGGGTGACGGAACACTGGAACAGGCTGCCCAGGGAGGTTGTGGAGTCTCCTTCCCTGGAGACATTCAAAACCCGCCTGGACACATTCCTGTGTAACATTATCTAGGTGTTCCTGCTCCGGCAGGGGGATTGGACTAGATGATCTGTTGAGGTCCCTTCCAATCTCTAGCATACTGTGATACTGTGATACTGTGAGAAGAACAGTGACTGGTTCAGCTACTGACAACACCAGCAGTCAGCCCAGCATAGAAGATTTGGGCTGCCATCACCACACTTCAGCAAGGGCAATGGTTTGCCTTATGGGGGACTACTGCTGACATGTAGCTCCATTATCCTTTTCTTCCTGTTTGTGTAAATCCGTTGTAACTGTTTGCATGCAGGTGGGGAAGTGCTGTCCATCAGGCACCCAGTTGGTTTAATGCAATCTCCCATGTACTTGCAACTGTATTTGGGTATTACTTGCATGAGAACCCCTGGGGATTCACCTGGCCCTTGTCACTGCCATTCAGTCCCAGGCAGGAGTTTTATATTAGATTAGTGTTTATTCTGAATGGATGTCAATGTAAGAATCTGCTTCTTTCAGTCATATGTCCTAAATTGTATGGGAGACATACACGTCATTTAAAACTGACAAGGAGACAAAGAAAGTTAATTCATTTTACAGCATCAACACTGAGTCCTGAAATAACAATAATTAAAAAAAATCTTACCCTGCACTTACTCTTCCATTCTTTTTATTTACAAAAATACATTAATTTTCTCAACAAAAATACAGCTCTGATAATCAAAATAGTGAGATGCTCAAAAGATAAAAAACCTCTACTAAAATTCATCTATGGAGGCTTTCTACTTTATTTTGGCAGTTCCCATTATTGAGACCATATGCAAAGTGAGGACTAAGTACATCTTGGTGAGATAATTATACATTGTCTCTGTGGAGAAGAAGAAAACAGTTTACAATCAACCAAGTTTATCTTACAAGTGACTGAATTCAGGTGGGGTGTTGTTCAATTTAGAGGCAACTGCATAACTGATCTAGAAATAATATCTTAAGCCACATTGAAATTACTCCAATCAAGCACAGCCAGCAGTTTCTGCAACCCTTTTATCACTGAGCTAAGTATTTGGCTTACATAAACTGACACAGATCCACTGCCTTGTAGCTACAGATTTATAGTAGCTGAAAACATAACCAGCCTTTACTGGGACTTCTGGTTGTTTTTAAAGATGACTATTCAGAAATATTACAGAATATTACAAATATTACAGAATAAATCAAAACCCCAAAGCTGTTTTCTAAGATGTCTTGGAGGTATGTGAGATTATTACATAACTTACCTACTTCAATGTGCAGTAAATCTGCTATTTCAAATTCCATCAGACTCAAAATTGTAAACAGGCTTATGGTTTTTATTGTTGTGAACACATATGCCCCAGGCATACAAATCTTGATCTGTCTAAGAACCGAAACAAGGAAAAAAAAACCCCAGCCTTTGATGTCAATTCAGCAGAAGTCTTAAACACAGTTAACTTTTACCCCCACACACTCAAAATATATCCTTAAAAGGTCACTCATAATCAAGTGTTTTGCTGAATTAGTACAGTTCATTAGGCTGCAGACTTCAAACTTGCCTGAAAAGGTTTCAGTATTAAACTTAATGAGACACGCAGTAGATGCACTGATTATACTTCACAATTTCTTTCAGTAAAAGCTTTCAGTTTCCAGTCCCAGCACTGAGTCACTTCCCAGATGGCCCGGAGTGAATTACTTGTGGTCACTGTCCCCAGTGACACACTCACTGCAAGTGCTCCCAAGCAGCAGCAAGCCAAAGGCACTTCTAATACAAAATAAAGGCACCCTCCCACATACTCAGAGAATGAAGCCAATGGGCTGTAAATTCATGTCTTGTCTTGCATAGTGCTAATGTCTTCAAGGCGAACAAGCCTTCAACTCTCGGATTCATCACTCTCCCCTCTAGATATAGATACGTCTTCAGAGTCCAATCATTTTAGCTTAAGCTTGGAGCCAGCCTCTGGAGGTCTCCGTTCCTCTATAGAAGACACCCAGAATGACCAGTCTGAACTGAAGTGCTCCAGAAAGTGAAAGTCCTACCTAAGCTTAGGCATCTATAAAATAGGTTCAGTGTTCAGAATCAGCAGGGTTCAGAATCTATAGCAGAAATGAATTTTCAGGTAATGTAACTGACAAAAAAATCACCATTTAAAAGCCAGGTTAAGCCTCATCACTATAAAACACTGTGTGCAAGATGAGATTAACAGCCATGTCATGGTGTTTCATGACTCAGAAAGCCTACATGATGTGAGAAATGGGTGACTATCATGATTACTTAAAGGCCAGAAAATTGAATAGCCTTTATTCCTGGAATTTTTGGAAGATACTACTGATTGTGGGTATCCTGAGTGAAGATACTGATTTGAAAATGTTCAGTACTCATTCTCTGACAAAGATCAGTTTACAGGTTTCAGAAGCAAAGAACTCCAGTAATGGGAAATATAAGGGTCTGTTTCTTATAAAACTATAAATTTATATGTTATAAACTTATATGTATAACTTATAACTTACATCAAAATCTCTTGCAGAAAAACTCTTTGTGAGAAAATCCTCAAAACACGTCTGCATCAGTGATTTGCTCCATTTCAAAAGAAAATAAATCCTAACTTTATAGTATAATCTAGTATTCCAAAGTGCTTTCCAAATACACTAGTGTGCAATTTATAGGTAGAAATTATGTTCAAAATCCATCCCAGCCCCTAAGGGTGAAATATATCATGAGTTAAAATTTGGGTGGTGCGTAATATTTACATCCTTTTCCCCTGACCTACAAGTCCATAGAATTTCCAGTTGCAGTGAGATCACAGCTTTCCATTAATCACTGATAGACAAAAACCCCCAAGCTTTCAACAGCTCACATTCCTGAACATTTGTAATGTCTTTTTTAGCACAGTGCAGTTAGATATCTCTTTTGCACGGTGGTGTTCTCTCTTGATTTCTTTTCTGACTGTGTCAGAATCAGCCTTTATCCTGTTTGATAAAATGTGAGCAGAGAAATGACCTGGGAGACTCACAGAGTTTGTGCATGAGATGTGAGACTGTATTTGGAAAGTCATCGTATTCAGAGCTTTCAGACTGAGGTATCCTCTTTGTCCAGGGTGTCTGTGCTTTGATGGCTTCTCCTGTTAAAAGCAGAACAAAGGATACATGAACAGACTTCTGGCTTTTATTGCTAACTAACCGAACTAGAGTTTGGCAATCTCAAACAATTGAGCACCACCAGCAAGGTTCAGTTGTTCTGAACAGTGACTACAGTACCTAATCAGAGGGACCAGTCCTGTTTTAGATGGTTTAGCCTATCCCCTCCGGTCTGCAGCTGCTTCTCAAGAAGGCAGCTGCTGCATGAGAGGCCTGTGGCATATCTGCCAATCCCATGCAGGTATCTTGGATACCTTCAGGCAATTAACTGGTCCCAGATACCCATGCTCAGGCCCTGGAATTATTCCCTTAGCATGGAAATCTGTTTCCAGTTCCAGTAACTTGGGATAATAAAAACAAGACAAGTAACAACATATTTTGATATTTAATCCATCAGTCTGCTAGGATAGACTGTTCTTACTTATGTCCTCAGTGTATCAAGGCTTCATTTGACAGAAGTGGATGATTTTGAGCTAAGCAAGATTTTTGTTGGAGAGTGAAGAAAGGGGAGGAAAGGACAGCAATATGGTAAAAAGGGAAAGAACAGCTCAAAGCTGTCCTTTCATTTTCTCCCACAGTCTTTCCTGCCTACGCCTCTAAAATGGTTTGGATGTTTCTTGTATGCCACAAGCACTAAGAATGCAGTCAAGAATCCCATTTTCTTTTATATACAAGTAAATTGTATTTTATCTATGTAAAATATTCTTCATTTCTGGCTTGAAACACTACTGCAATAGTGCTATGTGCACCATACCAGAGAAAAAGTAAAATATATCTGACATATCTAACAAATAGCCCTCTAAGCAAGTAGTATTATACTACAAAAACAAGATGCTGGAGCACATAATGATACCATGCATTCCATAATTCAACTAATAGCGTGCTATTTTGTTTTGTTGTAAGGAGTATAGAAGTGTATGTTGGTAACTAACAATTTTTTTGCTCAGTATGACAATGAGCTGCTGTAGTGATGTTACTGCTGTTTGCTGCCAGTTCAAACCTACCTTAACACCTCAAGTGCAAGCTTTGTTTCTCTTCGGCTTTCTTCAGTGATCGGGTAGAAAAGAAGTATAAATAAACCTACAAAGATGAGGATAGCAGGGACTGCTCCAATGAGGATTTTCAGCGTAAGGATCACATCACTGGGTTGTCTGCATATCCCTGGCTTGTATCCAGTAAACCTAAACAAATGGAAATAACAGTGGTATGTACGCCCAAAGCTAAATGGGAGTTGCTCATCTGAAGGTTCCCTTCCTTCCCCCAACACTCTTCAAGACTTTTCTCCCATTTTTTCCCAATCCTTTCTTTTTTCCTTGCCCCATTACATGTTTCAAATCCTGTTGCTCAAATCTCATTTTTGTGCTCAATTTCAGATAACTGCATTACCTCTGTATTTTCTCATTATGTAACATTTAACTACTAAGAGAAGCATGGAATCCCACGTAAGGAAATTGCTCTTTTATGTGTTTCCTATTAATATTCAGCAAAGTATTTAAGCTCCACTTTAAAAGTATGTAAGTAATCTGACCAATTTCAATAGCAATAATTAACTTTAAATTAAACCCACCCTTAAGCACTCATCTCAAGATAGACAAATTTACTCAAGTGCTTAGAGTTAGGTAAACACTTGCAGTTCATTGATTCAGGGTTTCCATGCAGTTCCACAACTGCTGAAATACTCAAATTCCCATTCCCAATTTGTGGAATGCAATTATTTTCCTCTGAACATGCACCTATGAAAGCTACAGCTCATTCAGCATCGCTCTGTGTTCTCCCACAAACATCTGCCTTGGGAAACTGCTAGGAGCTAAATGGAATGCCATTGAAAAGGGGCTAATGGGTGAACAGTGATTTGTTTGAGGGTGTTAGCAGCAAGCATCTAAAATTCTTAAGCCCAAAATGTTCAGCCAAGCACTGCCTGTTATTTAGCAGTTTCAGCTGAAGGCCCTGAAGCAAAACATTCTGGTTACCAAAACCTAACTTGGAGCTAAGGGCTAGACAGTATTTCAGACAAGTTCCCTTCTAAGTGTTTATTGTGTGCTTGTGTGCTGTAGAAGCTACAAAGGCCCCTTCTGATAGGTCATGTACAAAAGTAGGGCAGAAGATGGCTGACCACTTCTCAGCCTGTCTAGTCATAAAAGACAAGGCAAAAGTGAAAGGAGAACACAAAAGCATCATCCAAACTGACACGGTCTATGTGATGGGCAGAGCTGTTAGAAAGACCGTTCCTTATTCTGACTGGTATCCGGTTCCCTAAAACCATTCAGGATTGGTGACCCTTTTATGCTGAACAGGCCACTAGGCACCTCTGACAGCACTCTGATCCACATAAAGATTTAACAAGCTTGTATACGTAGTCCAACCCAGATGCAACAGGGAACACACAAAGCAGTTGTATCACTTGTGTGGGACCTTCATCTACTGAGTTTTTCATATAAGCCACAAAAATTTACAGGAGTAATTTGGAAAGCAGAAAAATCTAAAGGGAAGTCAGGTCTTTCTGTAATGAAACATGTTAGGGCAGGCGACTTAACACTTTGTGGTGTGGCCTAGATAACAATCCCATCTTTAGTGGTCAGCCATTTGGAGCTGCTGGCATTTTCAGGCTCACAGCAAAAAGGCAATTAACTCCACAGGGTAAAGGCGGTGTAACCTCAGAATGCTTTCAGAGTGGATCCACTAAGTGGAAACATAGTGTTACTTACTCCAGTCCTGCTGCAGAAATTCCTAAGCCAATTCCTGCTGACATCTTGGTAAAGAAAACATAAGAAGAATAGAAAATAGTTTCATGTCCTTTTCCATGAGGATTCTGCAGGCGAAAGTTATCAACAACATCAGGCAGCATTGACCTAGAGACAAGCAAGATAAAAGAAAAACTCACGCCAAAATCTCTTCTCAAAGTCTAAAGTTACTGAAAGAGTACACCCTCCTCCTTTTCTAAGATCTGACTGATGCAGGCATGTACATGAAAGAATCCAGCTATAAAACTCCTGCTGCTGTACAGGAGGGTAAAAATCCATGTAAAAAATGAATGGCCACATGCTACAAAGCAGAAAAACACCAAAAAACCATCAAACACTTGCTGGGAGGTGACAGAATTCTTTAGACTGACAGTCATTCCAATCAGAAGTTGTGATATTAAAAAAATAAGAATAACAAAACTCCATGTTAAGATTTCAAGGGACTCAATGTCTGAACAGTTTTACTCTGAAATAACTCTTCTGACAAGCTAACAACATTTTCAGAAACCAATGAGACCTATTCTCTCTCTTACTTCAAAAAGACTGAATTTGGTAATGGGGAATCAGAATGGAAGCTGTTCAAATGTCAACTGTGACTTGACATTTTATTTCCAGTATATGTCATGATTTACTGCTGGAAAAAAGGGCTTCTCACCCTCTCTGCAGAAAAGCTTATGTAGTCTGACAGCTTATTTCAAATGATGTTTCCATGATTTCTTGGAGTTTTTAGGGCATTGTGCAAATGAGTAATGTAAGTGCTGTCAGCAACCATCTTACTTTCTGGTCAATTTGATCTGAATAATTATTTCAACTGGACAGGACATGTCCCATCCTGCTCATAGAATCATAGAATAGTTAGGGGTGGAAAGGACCTTAAGATCATGGGCAGCTTTATGTATTTCCCCCCCACACACATATTTTCAGTCTTCAAGAGCTAAGGACCTTGAATTCTCACTTTCTTTTAATCATACCCTCGTGTTAGTTGATCCATAACAGACGACTGACTGCTCAAGCAGAGATACAGTTATGCTTATGCTATGTTCTTAATTGCTCAGCATTAATTGGTTAATCTAACTCATCATTCCTGTAGTTCTATTACAAACCAAATGTAAGCATCTGATTTGCTGTTGTCACATGCTCTATAGCTTCTTAGATTATTGATTCTTCTTCACACTCTTATGTACAAAGAGCCACTACAGTTACAGTAGATGCAATCTGTTAGCAACAGGGCAACCGAAGTCATGTTATTGCAAATAGCATCTATTATAAAAGCAGGAAAAGATTCTTGGAAGAAGTGACTCTTGCCAAATTCCGTCACTTTTGGAGGTAAATTCCATGCAGTAGTACATACATGTACTGTAGACATATACCTCTTCCTCACCTCAAACATAAAATTCTCTTACCATGGCAACAGAAGAGATGCTGCGATGCTCAGACCAGAGACAAAGGCCACGAAGTAAGCCAGGATGAGGTTTGGAATGGTGACTAGCATGACTGCAAAAGGAGTCATCCACTGAGGGAGAAGAAAAACAGTACATATGACTTAACAGTATGCACTGCTCAATGGTATACAGATTGTTTCCTTCAAAATACAAGATTGTGTTACATAGCAGTTCACACACAGCAATGCCTAACACTTCAGTATTTTGGAGAGCCCTGAACCAATCTGTATTCACCTATCCAAAACAATCAGAAAAAACAGGGCAAGCCATTGTAGTGCTTTTTCTGTTTGCAGTATTAGGGCTATAACTGCACTAGTAAGTTAAACAGTCCCGAGAGCATATTTATCAGTCACGAAGCCAACTGGCAGACCCTGGCCACATTCATACTCATAAACATTCATAGTCTCCAAAAGAAACATTGCCATATAAATACTTTGTGAAGAGTGCTTAAGTGGGCAGGTTCCCAGCCTGTAGCCAGATTCTTCTTGGGAGATGGCTCACCAGCTTGTGCTTATATATTTCTGCCTATTTAGTAATGACCAAACACCAATTTCTATTCTAGGCCAGGGGAACTATTTCATTTACTATTAGAGCAAACCTTGAAACATCATCACACTGCATTTCAAGAGGAGAGGCAGGGGCTCAATAATCATTTTAAACTGTAAATATTTCATTTTGCAGATAACTTGGGTCTTGAACGAACAGTTTGCTTACACGTTTGTTTCCAATGACCACAATAAAGCAATCTACGTACTTGGTAATAACTAAAAGCAAGAAGGCAGTATGGTTTACTCCCATTCCATACAGCTAGATATGCCACCAGATTTCCCCAACTTCAGCTTGAAGCAATCAGCTTACAGGAGTGAAAATCCACTTTTAAATGCTGATTGAAGGCATACAGCCCAGCTGTCCCGTACATGTTCCATCTCCCATGCCTATGAACCATGGGCACAGCACATGCAGAATTCAGAACCAGGGGCTTATCTACAGGGCTTTTTAATGATGGGGGATTAGTTTAACATTAAGTGTTTCAATCCTCTATACTTGCGGGCTGGGGGCTGAAGGTACGAGAAAAGCTTTCACAGACAGTGATTCCCCTAAGCGCTGCTATTTACAGAACTGTATGGTAAGTGATTCTGGGAGTCCTGGAGTCTAATCCATTATGTTTATGTTTTAAATGCATTTCCCATCTAAAGCATTTGATCCTAACCTAAGGAGGCAGAAAATAACCTTTCCTGACTGCAGGTTCCCAGCACAGACAGCTAATCCTTGCATTAGCCCAATGTTGTAGCAAAATCGTTATTTCACCACAAGAGAGCACTCCATCAATACAAGATTTTATGTTGCCTATAAGCAATTTTATGACAGTCTTATGCTCCACATGGGGCACCCAACCAGAAAACAAAGCACTTAAACAAAAGTCTAGATTGATAATAATAATCACCATTGTAAGTGTAATTTTCTATTGACAGAGAAGCATGGCTCAGAGGACTGAGGCTACAATGCCCTAAAGTCTCACTCATGCAATGGCAGCAGAATCACTGGGGCAGTGTTCCTGCTGCAATAAACAGCTAATGCACCTCCTTCTTTTCTACTTGCAGAGCAAGCACTCCATTATTTGCACTCTGCTCCCTAGTCACAGAGCGGCTGCCCTCCGAGTCATAAACAATATCCTACAGTTATCATGTGTCTTCCATCCATTCCCTAACAGCACCATGGAAGGCCACTCTTCTGGGATGCTGAAGGTACTACTGGCCTGGGCAGCAGCACGTTACAAAGGGCAAATCAGGAAAAGGTGCAGCTAGAATGTGAATGGAAACGTGAATGGAGAGGGGAAAAGGGATTGCACAGCCACGATGCATCCAAGGATGTGCCTCCATGCTGCACAGTGCTGATAGCTGGCAAATAAACAACAGTGTATATATGGCAAGGTGAAAAGACCGGTGGCCATTTTGGATTTGTTTTTATTTTTTACTAAATCTTCCAGAATCTACAGTCAAAAGCTATTATTGGCTAGATGGGAGCTAGAGTTGTGAGAGAGTGTGATCTTCCACTTTCAGACACCTTGTCAAAACCATGAGCCAAAAAGCTGCCACACTTCTTAAAATTTCTCATTACTTTACCTCCAGTTACCAGCAGACAGACTTACTGATTTTAAGTTCGTTTGCCCTGTAAGGGCGGAGCAGACAATCTAAATGAACACAGCACACAGAAGCAGAAGAGAATAATCCTGTGCACCTGATCATGGGAAGAATGCTATCAAGGATCCCGCTTGCATATGACCCTGTACTTCTAGAAAGGCTAAGCTTTAAAATTCTGGGAAGTTTAGATATTTAGCCAGCACTTAGACTGTTGGTCGCCTCTTGTGGAGGAATGAGTAAAAAGGGAGCAATACCCGTGGAAGGAAGCCAAGATTCTTGTTGCTTATCTACCCTGTCTTCTATACTCTGTAAAGGGTCTCTTCAACATACAACCACTTTAACAGGAAAAATTAGTCTGGAACAGTGTGATTTTTCTTTTATCTTATTTTTTCCAAGGAGACTGAGTTTCAAATTATATCTTTACCCTGAAAGCTGAGTGACGTTTTGCAGAAAAAAAAACCACTGCTTTCTGCCCTGTCTCCTTCCTTTCCAGAAGGACATCCCCCAATGACAAAAGCAGGAGCCTTAAATGATGTGATTTTATTTCACAGTGACAGAATAGATTAGCTGAACCAATCACACAAGGTGGTAGTATAGGAAGCCCCTGTGCTGCATTGCCAGACACAAAATCCATCACTGAGCACACAGAGAGTCCCTTGGGAAACATCTACAAGGTGAAAGAGAAAGATGACTTCTTTCAGTCCAGCCCCCACTTACACCATAATACAGTCAACCAACTGGACTGTAAAATTAAGTTAAACCATGTTTACAGAGGTGCTGACAGGCTTTGCAGTCATGTTAAACTAAATTTACAGAGCCAAGTTGGTTGAAGAAAGCTTATTTTGTGGCTAAGTAGACAGAGATTTCCTACAGAGGAAGTCTGCATTCCCTGGTCCAGTCAGTGGTCCAATACTGCTTTTGGCAATTCTCTTTGCTCAAGTGATAAAAAGAAATGAGGACGGGACTTGGATTCCAGATGCCTACTTCAAAACACATAATGTTCCAATATTTGGAACTTGGGTTTTAAAGTTACTTCTGATTCTTTGAAAGTCATTCCAACACACAGATCTTAATTTAAAAAATTATAACTGTTCAATTATATTCAATAATTGTCACCAGACCTAAATTTTTCGGCTTTGTTCAGATTTTGACATACAACTTCAGGCTGGATTTTCCAAGTCCTCATGCTTTGTTGTGCACAAGGCAGACAATTTTTCTTTCCTCTTTCATAAGTAATTGAAGGTAAACGGGAAAAATAGGGAGGAACAGGCCTACACAATGACTCACTGAGGATGATGACAGAAAATTGCTGCTGTCTGCAGTAAGTGAAGGACTTAAAAGAATCCATCAGAGATGAGGTCAGGCGTACTGAGCCATCTTTGCCGAGCTGTGTAATAGTTAAACCAGACTTCTTTTCTCAGGTAGGTCACCTATTTCTTTATTTCACTAATAATTGTCCATGTCTATCTCTGTTCAGAGGGATGTGGAAACCCCTTCCTTCTCACGTTTCTGGTGAAGGATGTGTAACAGACTTCTGTTTTCTCCTCTGCCACTGCATTACAGATGTGGTCAACTCAGCACCATATACAAGGACAAAACAAGCCTTATACAACAGATAACGTATAAATTCAGATTTGTGTTGCCTCAGATTGACAAAACCTCACTGGGGTTCACTTCTGAGTGCAGACAAATGCAGAGCTTGTAAAGATTCTTAAATAAACTGGAGCCTCCCTTCAACATCAATCCATTTCTCAAAAGTTTCTCTTGGAAACTTGGAATCTGTCTGAAATTTGGTACAATGGTTTAAAACGAACTCTGAAACTGAGCAAATTTCATGTAGCTTGAGGTTATAAACACTTGAAAGAGCTCCTGAAGTGGCTCCAGTTGTCAAATGAAGTGAGTGCGAGCAGATTTTTCTCTCAAAAAAACTGCTTACCGCAATCCCAAATGATGCACACTTCTTGCCAAATCGCTGCAGAATCTTCTGCCAGAAAGGAATGCTCACAGCTGCTGATATCTACAGTGGACAAAAAAAACATACCTGCATGGTGCTTACTGCCATGGTTGTCTTCAGCTGTAGAGCTCACAGACATCTTTTTGTCTAATACATTACAGCCTGAAAGGAAGGTGCACTTGCAGTTTCCTGTTTCTCCTCATCCTTTGAGCGTTTGGTTGTTTTTTTTGTTGTTTACTATTCACTATTATGTATTATTACAAACAAAAAAGCCTCAGAGGGTTTTCCACCGTCAAATACCAGAAGGCAGTGTCCTAAAATTTCCTTTTCCTATTGTAAGCCACCACAGCTAAAGCTACACATGACAGAGTCACTGAAGCTCAAACACATTGCAAACAGTCATATTTCCTGCTAATGTGTTTTGCCTCATTCTCTGGGCCTCACAAATGATAAGTAAATTCAGGTCTACCCCATCATACAGGAAGAAAGCTGAAGCACAATATACACTTATCTTAAGATATACTTACAGTACATATATAACAGATATAAGGAAGAAGTTCTTTCCTGTTAGGGTGGTGAGGCACTGGAATAGGTTGCCCAGGGATGTTGTGAATGCTCCATCCCTGGCAGTGTTCAAGACCAGGCTGGACAAGGCCTTGGGTGATGTGATTTAGCGCAAGGTGTCCCTGCCCACGGCAGGGGGGTGGAACTAGATGATCTTAAGGTCCTTTCCACCCCTAACTATTCTATGATTCTCTGATTCTATATCCCATACAACATGTTTTGTCTTAGGAACAACCTCTGAGAGAAATAGCTGTTTACATTTTGCTGCTTACCAATAGCTACTTACCATTTCATATACTCTAATACTCACCTGGTAGCAGCAACAACAACCACTTACAACAACAGGGCAACACAGTAACAATGCACTGAATTATTACTACTAATGACAGTCTTACAGTTTAAATTCAAATGTTATCTCAGTTACATTCCACTCTTTACTGACTTTACTGTCTCTTGTCTTTCTGCTTGGTGTCCACAACTTGCAGAGCCTCAAGACGCCCAACAGTCATCCCTTGCTCTCCAACATTTTTGTTTTAATCACTGGAAAAGATCTGTCTTATAACATGGGAAAGGAAGAATAAAAAAGGGGTAGAAAAGGGGGGGGGCTGGGACAAAGAAGTGGAAATGAAGTTTCCCTAACATGTTTCTACAATTCTCTCTGCCAAATGGGTCAGAAATCAAGTAACAGCTTCCCTGAAAATGACTGCTGCCATATTCTACATGGCAGACGAATTCTCTATAGAATATTTCAAAATTGCAGCACATGCATATCCTCAGAATTATGCAACTTTAAATGTTGTATTAAAAGGGCTTTCGTCAGAAGCATGAAGTTTTCAACTAATACTACTTGTAATCATAACATAAATAATGCAATACAGGAGCAGTGTGTAACTGAATTGTAAGTATCACCTAAGCAAGCAGAATTCTACCTCTGCAAGAAAAAAAAGGTTCTCTAAAAGGATCTTTTTATCACATTGCCGACTGCTTTGGAGAGGAATCTTCGTATCTCTGGATATCTCAAATATTTATCCTTGCAAGCTGCCTAGCCCAGAAGGTTCATATGTATGAATACACAAACTAAAGTTGTTTAATCTTCATATCTCTCTCTGCATATCAGAGTGGGAAAAGGGAAAAGGAGTTAAAATTCCAGACCTCCTTTCTGGCAGCAGCTTTTGCCCTTTATAGGAGCAGAAAGTGACTGACAGGTAAAAGCAGCAAGGAACAAATGAAAAGCTTCAAAGCATTAATTTTTTAGAAGTACAGCAGGGAACACCAGCTTTATTCCAAACTGGCAAAGGAAAAAATAGTGTAGCTTCTCAACAGCTCTGTCTAGACATAAAACTCCTTTTGTCTTCGTTATTTTGTGCCAGAAACCAGTGAGAACCAGCTATCAAATAAAAATACAGGACAGAAATGTGCAACTCACCAAGATGGTCACTACCAAATACTGGAAGTGACTGCGAAGATCAGCAGCATGAGTGCAGAATAGGACAAAGTTGCTCTGCTCCAACTGTTGAAAACATTTGGTGACCACCAAAAAAGAAAAGAAAATTAAAAAAGACAAAAACGTCACGCTCCATACCAGTCAAACACAGTTGGTGACTCTTGTTAAATGTAGGATTTGGGAGTCTCATTCTTCCCACATTTGCAACAGCTTAAAAAAAGCAACAAATCTCCTCCTGTCACTGGAGTGACATGCCAACTGTATTGTGTCAAGCAAGAGGTAAACCATGCACCTACTACAGCATAAAAATGACCAAAACAGGAACTGCCTCATGAGAGGATTCTATCTAAAGGCTTTATTCCCTGTGTTGCAATTGCCTTGTGGCGTTGTCACAGCCACAGCTACAGACTACTGCAAGAAATAAGTCCTTCCTTTTCCATAGCAATGTTATAAATCTTTCACCAGGAGTTCTGACTTCAAAACAAGTTACTCTTCACCTGGAATTATGTTCATGCCAGCTTCCTGTAGTAAAGCAGCTAACTGCTGGGTTTGTGTATCGCCTTGGCTATGGATGTATCTTTGGGTCAGATATCTCTCATTCAAATACTCACTGGATGGAAGATCTAGCTGCTTTGTGAAGCCACTGCCACCATGCTTTAGCAGAACTCAAAGGGGTTCTGAACGCGAGAATATGGCTCAGGCCCACCGGCAGCAATTCTGCAGAAGGGGAGTGGCAGAGGATTTAATATTCATGCCACAGTACTACAATCAACTCTTGCTCCTTTGTGCACTTGTAGATTAAAAGTGGCCAATAATCTGCATATAAATTAGGATAAAAGTTATACCCCTTCTCCATTGCCACCAAAGCCTTCCCTTGTTTGTAAACCAGTTTACACTGCCTTCATTTTAGACGTAGAGTATCACACTATGGGATCACAGCTAATGCATCTTTACCTGCCTATTCCTTTGTTCACCAATAATCCACTAACTGAATTCCACAAAGCCAGTGTCCTCCCTTGAAAAACAATGGCTGAACTAGAGCTCCCAGATTCTTCCTCCCCTCACACCTTCCCTTCAGTTTGCTCAAAAAGAAAAATGAAGATATATGGACAGCCAGAAGAGCTTTTCCTCTCTAGGTATTGTCAAGAAGTAATTGGCTGCCAACAACTAAATGTGCACTGTATTCTTACTGACTGAGTGGATGCTGGAAGGATCTGGACCATAAGGGATCTTTCATCTTCTCGTTATCTCTGCTGTTGCTTGCTGTGCCTGCAGCTCCCAGAGGTAAGCAGAAATACTTCTGCTATTGTTTCTCATCCTTGGGCCTTCCAGCAAAGACTGACAGATGCTGTAAAGGACAGCCTACTAACTGTGCCCAAATCCAGGCCAACCTGAAACTTCCATGCTTTTTTGGGAAACCGACTTTTAAACAGCCCTTCCAAGAAATTTACGAATTCACCAGGACTGCTGGTGAACACAGTGCTGCTCTCTTACATGCCCTGTTCTTGCCCTCTATCCTGATATTCACTCAATCAGTGGCGCATGTGACTAAGAATTTGTTGACAAAAATGCACTTGTGTTTTAAAATAAAGCCAACTTCAACTGGTATGTACAGATTCACATTAAAACAACATATTTACTGATTTGACCATAGCTCAAAAATCAAGCTTTAAAAGGACTGCTGGGCTATGGGGATTAAGGGTTTCTTACTGAGTGGCTCTAAATTTTTCTACAGCTTCTCTCTATGGAAGATGTATTACCTCTTTTTGCAAGAGCCACATTCAACTGCAGGTCCTCATTTGAAAATTAATTCTATCTAGTCCTGAGACAGGTAAGGCCTCCTGCCTCTGAACATCATCTTATCTTACTCTGACCTAATGCCTTCTATCATAAAGACTCCATAAGAACCAGTTCAGCCACTATCTGAGAACAGACACCTATACAAAGGAAAGGGGCAGTGGTTTAAAGGGGCACACACTATAGAGAAGAACAGAGAGAAGAGAAAAAGTGTTCTCTAAGCAACTGAAACTGCAGGAGACCTGATAGATAACATATAATGACCCTCTGGGTCACTAGGACTAGCTCCTCACCTTTTATGGAGAAAAAAAAAAAACCAAACCAAGCCATTTCTAAATGGTCAGGACTTTGGTTTTGCTTCTCCTTTGAAAGAACCATCTCCAGCTGCACAGGAACCCAGGCACCAAGAAAAGAACTCTGGTTCCTGACTGATTTGTAAGGGAATGCACCACCCCCCAGATCACCACCTCCAGGCATTAGCCAAAGGTCATTTGCGTTTTAGCTGCCGCAGACTCTCCCATACTGAGACTGGAATGAGGCCAAGACACAGACTTAGAGAGCCTGAAAGTTACCTGAACTGCTGTTGAGATGAGAAGAAATGAAGCTGTAAGCTTCACATATGGACCGTGCTTCATGGTGAGTCCAAGCCCCTTACAAAAAGGTATTGCTCTGTCTGAACTTAAGGCATAAGGATCTAAGAGGAGCAAAATACATAAAATAACAATCTTTTCTGGAGATGAATGTGAAATAATTATTATTAAATCTAGACAAATTTAAATATATCTTACCATCTTTTTCTTTTACTCCAAGAAAAAGGATGATAATTCCAAGAAGATACACACATCCTATGACCCCTGCTGCAATCATATAAACTTTTGCCTTTGAAGAGAAAAAAGGCATATTTGAAATTGTGACAGAAGAATGACAAGCCATTATGGAAATCTCAGCCTCTTTCTCGTGAGCCATCTGCAAATGAAGAAATGCCTCTCTATGACAGCCAACTGTGTTTTACCCCTCTGAAAAATGTTCACTTCTGCAGGTCATTTATAAACAACATGTACTTTAGGATAAATCCAAGGCACGTAAGTATAGATTTATTGGAAAACAAAAAAAAAAAAAAAAAAAAGAAGCTGTGAGACTACCTACAGACACAAACAGAGATCTATCAAAAATGTGCAGCATCAGTGGAGTGATTCTAACTTTTAGTAAATCCAGCTGATCCAGTTACATAGACTACAATCTTTATCTTCATTCTGGGTGGGAAAGGCCCTAGTGCTGATGCAAACATAATTAGTACAGTTACTGTATTATGTATAATACAATAATAAGAAAACTTCCTTTAGGCTCTAATAAATTTTACAAATCACACTTTCATGCCAATGTTCTAAGAATATGGTTACTTGCATGCTTGTTACCCCAGCTACTTAGTGAAATACTCAAGCATATTCAGCAATTTTGTTTACTGCTGCTGAAGAGTGGTAATAGGAGATATTCAACTCCAGTAAGCAGAGCACAAATACTTACATCTCAGTTTGCACCATGCAACTGAGATTAGACTCAAGTCGAGGAATCTTATTCATGGGAATCTTACATATCAGTATATGCACTTGACAGAGAAAGAGATGAAAATATAAAATCACTGAACCTCGCAATTGGTAAAAATGGAACTTAAAAATTGATGATTTCACAAGTGACACAGGAAAAAGCCAAACCACTACACAAGGTAATTGTTTGATTCAGGCCCTGTTTCAAGATCATTGGAAACAATGGAAGATTATCAAATTGTGTTCACCGAAGTTTGGATCAGCTTTTAGGATTTCCTCATAGATACAAAACCTTCTCTGTTTCTCAAAAAATAGCAAACTGAAGCATGAAGAGATTAAATTACTTGTGCAGGATTACAGGAGAAATCTGCTGTGGAAAATTAAATAAACAAGCATGGCTCTTTAGGTTCATTCCATGTGTTAAACACTGAGCGCTGCTCCCACTAATTGCCTGTTAGAAACCATTTACTTTCAACATGCTTTGTATCTTCACAAGAATACAGAATCCAGGTAGGACTTCTAGTGTCATTCACGTAAAAACTATTAATCTTTAGAGGAGAACCCCAGTAATAACTCCTTTGAAAGGCAGCGTTGCTTACCTGAAAAATCCTATTACAGCCACCATTTTTTCACAGAATCACACAATTATTTGGGTTGGATGGGACGTTTAAAGATCATCTTCCAAACCCCCTGCCATGGGCAGGGACACCTTCCATTAGACCAGGTTGCTCCAAGCCCCATCCAACCTGGCCTTGAACACTGCCAGGGATTGGGCAGCCACAGCTTCTCTGGGCAACTGTGTCAGTGCCTCACCAGCCTCACAGTGGAGAATTTCTTCCTAATTTCTGATCTAAACCTCCCCTCTTTCAGTTTAAAGTCATTGCCCTTTGTCCTGTCAGTACAGGCCTTCATAAAAAGTCTTTTTCCATTTTTCTTATGAGTCCCCTTTACATATTGAAAGGTCACAACAGTCTCCCCAGAGTCTCCTCTTCTCCAGCCTGAACAACCCCAACTCTCTCAAGGAGAGGCGCTCCCTCTCTCTGACCATTTCTGTGGTCCTCCTTGAGATCTGCTCTAACAGGCTCACATGTGCTGTGGACCCCAGAATTGGATGCAGCATTCCTGGCAGGGTAAAGTAAGCTTTTCTCACTAAGCTTCTATTTTAAACTGTGAATCAGCCCATAGTGAAAACAAAGAATGGTCATGTACCTCCTAGCTACTTTACAGTTTGGCATCTTCAGCAAAGCTCATCAGTGTAAATCTGCTGCCACCACAGAGAAGTGGTTGCAGAGACAACAGATGGGAAGTCTCATTCACAACAAGGTCCTTGTCTCAGCTCCAGCATTACTGATTTCAAGGAAGTCACGTTTATTTTCATCGGGCTGGATGATATGATAAGGTATTACAGATATAGCAAACCCCCCCCCCCTTATTGATTTTAGTGTGCTCCCATAGATGCTTACTTGATGAGACAAGGGATCTGAAGTGTCTGGAAAGCTGGAAGTGTCATACCAGGAGTCAGTTGTGTTTACTGGGGGATTCACAGTGCAGTGATGAGAGACATGAGCACTGGCCACAATCTGCCCTTGAAGTCCAGCTCCAATCAAGGTCCCAAGCACTTCCATGGTCATTCCTAAAGAAGTAAGCACAAATGTGCACTGAGCATGAGAATTTGTTTCCTCCGCAGACTTGCTCATTTGTCCCACTGAAAAGAAACCTCATCAAACCATTTTCTTTTACAGGAAACAACCAGAAAATGCAATACTAAGAGCATCAAAACAAGATGGTCAGTAATAGAACAGTTTCATGGAAACAGAATTTTGTAATCTGTTTTCTGATCAGCTTTTAGAAGTCTGCATGGAAGATCTGCTTTTATTCAAGCTGCATGATGGACGCAGCTGAGATTAAGAGCCACAAGTGGATAACACAGGAACCTCTTTCATCTCGAGGACCAGAGAACTACAGTTTAAATGTTGAATGCCACTATTCTGAAGCAGGACTAGGAGCCATGACATCAGGCTTTTCATCTTAAGCTTGACAGTAACTTGTGAAACATTTTTCAAGCCACTTATCTGATTAGACCTATAGGCTCTCCAATTGGTAAAATAAAACAGTACTTACATCAGGCTTATGTCGGAAATAATACAGCTGCCAAGCTCCTGGAAACAGTAGATGCCACTCTTAACTGTTTAAGGCCAGAGTAAGGCAGAACTAGCTACCTTAGTCTCAGTGAATTATTCAGACCACTACCACTCCAAGCACCATAAGAATAAGGAATCATCTAAAAAAAAAAAAATCCAAAGCCTATATTTGGGACAGTAAAGATCTGACCATGGACATGCAGATCATGCTTCATGTACTCAAAAATCAGTCAACAAGGTGGTTAGTTGTTACAGCTCCACTGCAGGCAAGTGGTGAGTAAGCTGGGTTCTAGCCCCTTCTCACCCTGAGGGATTTCAAGCCTGCCACTTCTGTTTCCATGCAATGTGGCCATACCCAGCATCCCCATGGTAGGGAGATAAACCAAATTCCTGTTCTGCCTCCAGGCACTATTTACACATTTTGCTTAAAGATACAGGGTCCTTAGGAGACTTTGGATCATTTAAACCATTGCTAGTATGCTCCCAAATAGAAAATGTTTCTGAATAGAAAATTTGAGGCTTCACATGGTATTAACTGAAACCAACGGGAAGTAAAAGAATAACAGCTTCTTCCCCGAACTTCACATTCAGTTTTACTGGCAATATTACAGTTCAGTCCATACATACAAAAATGCTGACAGATGGTGAAAATCCTGACCTCAACCTTATCTGACAGTCTCAGTTGGGCTTTGTAGAGCTTCAAAACAGTTGACTACTCAGTGGAAAGGCAATGCACCCAAGTAATACCTTTCATTCAAAACACCACCTACACATCTATAATCTTCATTAGGGCTCTACATCTGCATTTTACCAAGCACTTGCATAGAATAAAACTCAGAAGCATCATTAGAGGCAATAGAAGTACAACCATTATGAAACCTTCTTTCTAAGAAGCAGCAAGAACTGAGGAACAGGTACATTTGAAAGTTCTTACGTGCTCAGAATTTAGAATTTATTACTTTCCACTTAGCCAAGAAAGCTGATGTTTCAGAAAGCAGACTGTACCTTGAAGTAGGTTATATCTTGCCTAGAATGTAAGTAGGATTTATGGTAAAGCAACTTAGGAATCACAGCGAGAAGCAGGACAAAATTTGTACTGAGCAGTTCTGCTTGTCTCCAGCAGAGGGTAATGGAACCTCTGATCCCAACTTTTTTTGTTTTTTAAAGCACACTTCATATTACACAGCTGGTTTTCTTTAAAGAGTTGAAGAAATGCCTGAACAACTGACTGCATCCAAGAAAGTCTATCAACAAGAAGAATTCTCTATGAAACCCAGAGAGAGGCTGAAGTATTTAAGTAAAACACTTAAAAAAAAAGGGGGGGGGGGGGGGGGGGTTCTCACATAATCATTGTCATTACAAGAAAGCTTGCTCCAAACAAACATAATTTCAAAATATACAAAAATATCAACATTTGAAAAGTCAAAACTATGATTCATTTATTCACCCTAACTTGGGTTAGGAGAACAGCTGTACACTCAAAAGTTAAAGCCTTTCTGAACATTAAAATGACACTATAAATGCGTACACCTCTCAGCCATAGAGTTCAACAGCTTTTATGAGCACAGATTTCATATGCCTGTGAAGCCTTGCATGGGACTAGCACATAGGAAAGTGCATTTATTTGGATCACAGCCTCTGAAGACATAAAACCAGACAACAGAAAACACTAGGTACATGGATTTTGTTAGAATTTAGGGCAGATGACTCAGAATACAGTCAGTGCCAAAGAATATAACACAACTGGAATCCCTCACTGTTTAGTCCTGTCCTGTGACTGCTAGCCCAAACTTTCTCTTGAGATAGTTAATGATAACGCAAATTACAACTGTTCCATATGCTGGAAAGGGATTGGGTTGCTCAGGGGGTGCTGTATCTAGAATTTCTGACAATACTTTTTTTGGTACTTCTGGCCATTTCATTGTGCCTCTGTGGTCTAGTTTTCAACATAAGCAAGTATACTGAGGGTTAGGACTAATGGAAGAGAAAAGGGGTCTTGCCAGGAAGAGCAAACTGCTGCAACAGTTATTCTAAAGTAACACTGAAGGACAAGTTAAAACATAAAATTATTTAATGTGATATCTAACTCTTTTCTCTTTACCTTGCTTAATGCTGGTGGCCACGAGAGACAGCAGTTACATAGGAAAGAAGGTGTGAGAACAGAGCTGAAGAGAACAGGATGGGAAGAAACTTCTTACATTCAATTTATGATCTATACAGGAAACCTTGGAAACACTTTTATTGCACTTTTTTGGTCTGATCAATTTGCTTCGAAGCAAAAACCATCTGGTTTTGGTTGCTAAAGAGCCAGAGATACGGTCTGGAAACCCTCATTCTTTTAACTAATACAGAACGCTAGTTATACCGCAGCAAGATCTGTCCTTAAACTACTTGGTTTAAATTAGAATTAAACAAACACAAATGAACTAAAAAGAGACTTCAGTTGGTGTGAACATGCATACAAAATAACTCTCCTTTTCTGATGAGGCTAATTGTCGTGGTTCTATGAGTTCTAGAAATTTTATCAGAGAGAATAGGTTTGGGATTTGAATTTACACCATGAAACACACAAACCTAAAGAAATCTGAACTGAAAAGAAAAAAAATAAACAAAAAAAAGAAAGGAAATACTTTTCAGCGTTTCTTTAATTGAATCATAGAATGGTTTGGGTTGGAAAGGACCTTAAGATTATCTAGTTCCAATCCCTAAGTCCATGGGCAGGGAAGCCTCACACTAGACCATGTTAATGAAGACCAGCACTTTGGTTTTTCCACTAAAAATCACCTTTAAATTAAATCATTATTCCCTACCCTAGGTTGGGTAAGACTGATTTTTACTGTTCTGCCTGGCTAACAATAAACCCGAAAGAGTTTTTTCAGATAATTTAACAATAATGTCACCCATTTAGCTAGAAAAATGAAGCATTTACAAGGCAAAACAGTTTTCATTAGATACTAAACATCTCATATAAAAGTCCAGTTTAGGGACACAAACCATTAGGAACTGCCTATAAATGAAGAATGATTTGAAATAAACCTCAGCCCTACTCCACATGAGAAAGCCCAGATCACACTCACGGTACGCTGTTGCAGAATCTCTCTCCTTCTGGTCTGTGCTGAGAAACATGGTGAGGGCAGAGTACGGTACCTGGAATAACTATGTAAAGAAAAAACATCACTAAGGAAATGCTGTATTCCTTTGATATCCAGGAAAATTGTTTAATGCCGCCTTGGAATTCACGTATTTAGAACACTGTTATTTTTAGCACAAGATCCTCTCTTTTCTTTATGTTTTGTAAAGTATATAAAAGGAAAAAAGTATCTTTCATAACACAAATAGTAAATAATAAATTACCAAGAGGCTGTACCTTAATGCTATGCTCCTTCAGCTTCCTTGGGTAAGTTTCCTTTATATATAGGTTATAAAACATCTAGTTTTCTTTGTGCTAGGTAATTATAATGTTCCTAGCTTGAGCTAAATAACAGGAAGTAAAGCCATAATGAAGACAATGCAATCTTCCACTTTATTCAATACAGAAGACTTGAATCACCAAAGAATTTCAAATACCTGTCTCACTAATTCTAGGAGATAATTGTGAAAACTACTTTGTTTTCAGCATCATTTTGTTGCACACTTCTTAATTTAAGAATAGGTAGAAACACCCAACTGCTGTGTGCATGCACTGACAAAAAGGTAGATGAGGAGTGTTGCTTGTTTGTTGTTACAGCACTGTATCTAGTATGCTATTGGTACCTTGCTGTAAAATCTGGGTGGAAACAATGCACTGGCAATAATTTTTTTGTGTGTTTTTTTAAATTTATTTCAATGCCAGGTAAATGAGCCCCACTTTTATTGTAGGACAAGCCTTATCTCCAGTAGTACTTCACTGAAAATAACTACTGAAGACTAAAGGCTTGACCCTGTTTTTGGTTTGTCATGATGTGAGTGGGACACTGTCCTCATAGAGTTGAGCTTAAATAAAAACCACTTCTAAAATCTTGGAACATACAGGCCAAACTCTCAGACTACTGTGAAGTGGAAGTGTGACGTGAACCTGCTTGAGTCATCAAATTATCTGTGGTGTTTCCACCACCACAGAGATCTGTAATTAGGCAAACTAACTTTTGTAATTCTCATCCTACTCTGTTCATACAAAATGCATTTCTGTTCCCCTCCATCAAACATGGCAAGTGTATACACTTTTAAAGCTCTGCCATGGAAAACCTGTGTTTTTCCTTCGAAAAGAGAGAAGGAAGAACATTATTTTAAGCAATTATGAATGTATTCTGGACCATCTTTCTACAGAGAAAACAAAGGATCTAGGGAAACATTCCACCTTAATACAGGAATACAGAATTCCCAGGTCCAACAGACACCTAAAGAGGAGAAAAGCCAAAGTCAAACAAGAAATACAATTTAAAAGTCTGGCAACCACTTTTCCAAGGTGTGATCCAGTGAAAATCAATCAGCAAGGACACACCCGTCCAAATTGCTACACAGCTGTAGCACTTCAAGTCCTAATCTGCTGTGTGCTACTGCTCTGCACAGAAGGGACCTTGTTTCACCTTGATACTGGCTACAAGACAAAACAGATGCAACCCTTACATGTACAGTATGGAACATGTCAGAGAAGTCCTTTGGGATCCACTGAAATGATGGCTTCTGCATAAATACTGCAAGTTCTGGGCTGTATTAAAAAAGAATCATCTGCTCAAACTCTTCTAATCAGGCAAAAATATCATGATGACCACTATAAGTACTATTTCAGCCAGGCTACCCCGACTTTCCATTGCCTTCTAGTTTGACTCAAAATACCCAGAACTAGAGCCAGAAGCCTACTCGGCCTCCTAATCTTCTCCTGAAAATTGAAGTTATGAGAAGTTATATCTAACTGGAATTAGGAATCTAAAAATCTGAGTGTCCCTGTGGATCTACACAAGAACGAGTTGAGTATCTAGGGCACTGCCAATGAAAGTAAGTGGAGGTGATCTCTCCAAGTTAGCAGGTCATATGCCAAAGAAAAGATTGGCAGAAACCATCAACCAGCAGAGAGTCTGATAAAAGGACATCTGCCTATCCCTTAAACTTACTGGAAGTTGACATCAGCTGGGAAGCTTTTATAAATTCCAATTTACTAAATCTGAATGCATTAACATAGAAAACAAGCAAGTTACTGCTGAGAACATCACAGCCTGTAATCTACTTACTGTGGTCAGTGCCTGGAAAAGGCAGTAGAAAGTCAAGTACCATGCAACTCTTCCTGATACAAAAGGAGGCAGGTACCACATAAAAAAGTAGGACACTACTGTGAAGGGTGTACATGCCAGCATCCTGCAAATAAGATTAACAAACAACAACAATCTCAACCTAATGATAGCAAAACTCATTAAATTTTCCTGCTAAAAGTCAGTATAATGCAATTTATTTTATGTGCAATTTTTCTGACTATAATAATGCCATGGTTTAAAGTATTAAACATTAATGTGCATTAAATACACAAATTAATATAAAAATATACAACTACTTCCATGAAATTGAAAAAAAAAACAAGCAAATGTGAACTGCACACCATGCCTTAGCACGTTTCAGACATTTATAGGAAAGAACTACTGAAAACTAAGTTTTATAGTCACGTCTTTGCATAATTCAGGAATTTTTATATGAGCCTACTTATTACCAAGTATTCCCTCTTGCAATTTTAATGCCTTCAGTTTTCCTCGCAACTTCACCTCTTCATTGCTACTTCAAGCAAGTGCAAACATGTCAATAGACCTGAAAATGCTGAAAACAGCATAAAAGATAATGGACAGTCCACTGCAAAAGTTCCTACAGTCTGTATCTACCTGGGTATATGATAACATATGATGATTTCATATAATATGATGATTCCAGTCAGATGAAGCTCCCAGCAACTCGAAAAAGGGAAATATAACCCCCATTTTCAAGAAGGGGAAAATGGATGACCCAGGGAGTTACAGACCAGTCAGTCTCACCTCTGTGCCTGGCAAAATCTTGGAGCAGATTCTCCTGGAAGGCATGCTAAGGCACATGAAAAACAACAAGGTGCTTGGTGACAGCCAGCATGGCTTCACTAAGGGGAAATCCTGCCTGACCAATTTGGTGGCCTTCTATGATGGGGCTACAGAACTGATGGACAGGAGTAGAGCAGTTGATGTCATCCACCTGGACTTGTGTAAAGCATTCGATGCTGTCCCACACAACATCTTTGTCTCTAAATTGGAGAGACATCAATTTGATAGGTGGACCACTTGGTGGATAAAGAACTGGCCGGATGGCCGCACGCAAAGAGTTGTGGTCAATGGCTCAATGTCTGGCTGAAGACCAGTAACGAGTGGTGTCCCTCAGGGATCGGTGTTGGGACCGGTCTTGTTTAACATCTTCGTCGCTGACACGGACAGTGGGATTGAGTGCGCCCTCAGCAAGTTTGCCGATGACACCAAGCTGTGTGGTTTGGTTGATATGCTGGAGGGAAGGAATGCCATCCAGAGGGACCTTGACACGCTTGTGAGGTGGGCTGATGCCAACCTCATGAAGTTTAACCATGCCAAGTGCAAGGTCCTACACCTGGGTCGGAGCAATGCCAGGCACAGCTACAGGTTGGGCAGAGAAGAGATTCAGAGCAGCCCTGTGGAGAAGGACTTGGGGGTGTTGGTTGATGAGAAAATGAACATGAGCCGGCTTCAGTGTGCACTCACAGCCCAGAAAGCCAACCATATCCTGGGATGCACCAAAAGGAGTGTGACCAGCAGGTCGAAGGAGGTGATCCTGCCCCTCTACTCTGCTCTCGTGAGACCTCACATGGAGTATTGTGTGCAGTTCTGGGGTCCTCAACACAAAAAGGACATGGAACTGTTAGAACAAGTCCAGAGGAGGGGCATGAGGATGATCAGGGGACTGGAGGACCTCCTGTGTGAAGACAGGCTGAGAAAGTTGGGGCTGTTCAGCCTGGAGAAGAGAAGGCTGCGTGGAGACCTCATAGCAGCCTTCCAGTATTTGAAGGGGGCCTATAGGGATGCTGGGGAGGGACTCTTCATTAGGGACTGTAGTGATAGGACAAGGGGTAATGGGTTAAAATTTAAACAGGGGAAGTTTAGATTGGATATAAGGAGGAAATTCTTTACTGTAACGGTGGTGAGGCACTGGAATGGTTTGCTCCGGGAAGTTGTGAATGCTCCATCCCTGGTGGTGTTCAAGGCCAGGTTGGACAGAGCCTTGGGTGACATGGTTCAGTGTGAGGTGTCCCTGCCCATGGCAGGGGGGTTGGAACTAGATGAACTTAAGGTCCTTTCCAACCCTAACTATTCTACGATTCTATGATTCTATAATTTGCTCTATTTAACTCAGCAGCAAAACTCCTAATCACTTCAAACAAAAAAGGATTATCTTTGGGTGAGGAAGGTGGCTTAAAAAAAAAAGAAGCACAGAAAATTAAATTCCAGACATTGCCATTAACCAGCAATTAATTATATTAGTCTAAAACTAATTTCAGGCAAAAACACTTGTCAAACTCCATGATATGGAAGGACATGATAAGGACTTCAGAGGACAAGGGGGAATGGTTTGAAACTGAAAGAGGGAAGATTTAGATGAGATATAAGGAAGAAATTCTTTTCTGTGAGGGGAGAGAGGCACTGGCACAGGCTATCCAGAGAACCTGCGGCTGCCCCATCCCTGGCAGTGTTCAAGGCCAGGTTGGATGGGGCTTTGAGAAACCTGGTCTAGTGGAAGGTGACACTGCAGGGGAGTTGGAACTCAATGATCTTTAAGGTCCTTTCCAACTCTAACCATTCTATCATTCTATGAAGTGGTTTGATGCTACTATATCCTAAAAGCCTGAGCTGCAGCAGCATCAGGACTTTCCTGTATTCTTGTAAATCAATGTAATTAGATGACCAAGATCCCAATTTAAAAAATGTCCAAACACATACAAGGGAGAATAGATAAATCCTTTCACAACAGCACTACTGACATTGGGGGTCATCTGATTGTTTCGCAATCATGAACTCAAAACCTGGAATACAAAAGAGTAATGTGGGTAAATAGTTTAGTAAAACAATGGCTTTCCCACAGTGCTCTTTGGAATGGACAGCATCACTGGGAGTGGAGCATTTACAAGGAAAGTGCCAGGTTCTGGTATTCTCTGGTATTCTCCATTCCCCAGAACAGAGTGCATAGACAGCTAGTCAGCAATGGAAAACAAAAATATGGATAAAATCCTAACACATCTCTGGGAATCTACCTTCCTCTCCATGTGAGCTCTTACTGACTGATATCCAGACAGAGTCACCACAGTAAAACATTTTCATAGTGAGTTTTTCTTGCAACTTTTCAGCAATAACCCTTTTAGTATCCCCCCCCCCCCCGCATCCTTTTTCTACATTCTCCTTTTCTTATTAATGTCAGTGAGTTTTCAGAGCCTTGCTGAAGTTGCTGAATATCTGATTGTCTATTATCTCCTTTGACAAAACATTTGACTAGGTTTGGATATTTCAAGTCAATGTCTGCTTATGCCTTTTAAACGCATCACATTAAAGAGATCAGTAGTGATTGATGAATTCTTATTATATTGAGCACAGTATTAAGCTATAATTAAACGTTCACCTTCTTTACTAATGTTCTTGCTTTGCTGACTGAGCTAATTCCATTGCTTCACTCTAGATACATAAAAAGTCATAAGAATTTCAGAATACTGAAGTATTGTTGGCTAACGGAAGACCTATTTTTTGCTTTGTATAAATATGGTCTGACCTCCAAAGTGTAGGAACAAAATTCCCATGAAAAGAATTACTATTGCCAAAAAGATTCAGACAAAATCCTTCTGGAAAGAAAGGATTTTTGCGCTGTTTGCTGAACGCATATTAAAGGCTGGGTTAGATAAGCACCTTTCCTGTACGAAATGCTAATTGTAGTCATTGGTTTACAGTGCAAAGGCCTGGTCTCAGCTTTTGATGCTTCTGTTAGAACGGAGTTATGCTAACATTGATTTAACAGTAACAATAAACACATGTACTTGCAGTATTTTCAGAAAACTGAAAAAACCCAAACCAACAAACAAGAAGAGGCATCAGAATACATCTAATGGCATTTGTATAAAAATGTTATTCCTTTCTTTTTTAATAACTGTTACTTAGTTAAGTCAGTGCACATTAAAAAGCACTCCATTTACCTGGCCACAAACCAAATCATGAAAAGAGAAACAGCAGCAAGCTCCTCTTTTCCCATGGGGCTCTTGACAAAAAGCTTATCTTTGACTTGAAGGCCCTGTTCCTGCTGGAGCCAGGAGCAGTTATCTCTCAGCCTTCCTCCAGCATGTACTTGCCTTCTATTCTTTGTCAGATATAAGGTGCCCACAGACAAGTTTCTGTAGCTGTAAAACCACATGACAGCAAGAGAGCCACTATCCAAAAAACTGGGTTTATTTTCCATGAAAATTCAACTTCTTTGCTCAGCATACCACATTTACTCCTAGATTTCTGTTGTGAATCAAGTGTGGGGCTTGTATCAATTCCATATATCTTACAATAAATATATCCTTACAATGCTTGAGATAAGGAGTCTTTCAGCACTGCTCCGTTTCACAACCTACTCAAGTCTCCCCTTGACTTCCAAAATATAAAAACCCCAATAAATAAATACCCTATGGCACAGATGAGCTTGGGTTCCTCTAACATGGAACAATCCTTTTCAATCTTCTTGCTTCACACCTATCAATCTCCTTCCTACACAAGTAATATTCATTCTTCTAACCTCTCCCTGTAGCACATGGATAGCACATGCACAAGTGTACTAGCCAGAGTGCATACAGGGAATAAGTACATCACAGTGAAGCATCACACAATCCCTTCTTCAGAAATGCTGATCAAAATCTTACATCTTATTCATCATAAAAGTCATGGTGATCTGTAATTAAGTATTTTGATTGCAGAGATGCAAGAGAAGTAGGACCAGAACAAGTGCTGTAAGGAGGCACATAGAGAGTGCCAGGGCAGTGCTGGTTGCTGAGCCCTTCAGCACTAGGATATCACATCTGTTCCACACATATGCACGCATCCTTTACTGAACTGGAGAGCGTAGAGATTTAAAGTTAATGGAGCTCCTGGGAGGCTGATGTGAGAAGTGAAGGCACATCAGGACACAAGTATAAACAAGTTCTAATTTCTTGGAGGAGTGAAGCCAAACTAAAGAAATCTATATAAAGATGAAAATTCAACTACAGATTCAAGAAAGTTTTAGATCTGAGCTTCCAGCTTTGTTAACAACATGGTGTCTTGGCTTTATTTGTTTGTGTGGTACAAAATCTCTTCTGTGTTTTCACGGGTGACAAAGTTAAAGGGAAATATATGACATGACAATTTTTCTTCTTGATTTTATATAGATAGAATGAATACAATCACTGTTGTCTGGGAAACAGGCAAAGAAAAATGAGGTCAAAATCAATAAGGCGACTGCACGATCACAACACAGACACAATATTCCCATATATTCCTGTATATATGTAAATATATGTACACATTGATGCTTACCAAGGCATAAGCCGTCCAATTTTTGTCCATCTACTTTTGCTAATAAAAAAGCCAGCAACAGGATCAGTAACTGCACCTGAGGCTTTGCCAATGAACAGCACCAAAGAGGCATGAAATGGAGTTATCTGAAAGTACAGACAGAATACTGTAAACAACAGCCATTGTTTCACAACACAATAAAACAGCATAAAGCAACTTTCCAGAAAAAAACAAAACAGTGTTTCAAAGAATAATGAGAGTTCATTTACAAAACAGTCTGCTGCTGTCATACAAATTACTATTGATTATCCATAGCACACAAATGAGACATTAGAACAGGCACCATGCAAGAAGAGATTAGAAGGGAAAAGTGCAAGGAAAGAGAGATTATGAATGTGTTTAGAACCAGGAAAATCAGTCAGACAGTAAAACAGTAGACTAAAGTCCTTGTTTAAGTCACAAATCTGTCAGAGTCCCTTCTGTCATTATCCCCTCACCTTGTTCTCCACACAGCCTGATTTCCCCGTATTTTTATCTTGACCTGATCTAAACAAAAGTAGAGGGAGCTATTTACATGCATTCATGTTTTTGCATCTCCTGAGATTACCAACAAGGCTGCCAACCGATGGCATGTGGCTGTGGCAAGGGTTTTAGCACAGCAGCCTTAATCCTCTTAGAGCTGAACTGTGACAACCAAACTGCGTAAGGCACATCTGTTCAAGTGTAAGTTGCCAGCACATGTTCAACAAATCTCACTTGAAAAATGTCCACAGATTACATAAGAATAAAATGGCCAAGTAGAAAAACCTTTGAAGTTAACCCAGGAGGATCATACTTAAGTGCCCATATAGAAACACAGTTTATCCCAGACAATGTAGTTATTTTTCCCATATATCTGTAGAGAGCTTGGGAACTCGTATCATATGATGCTTAAAAAGGTGAGTTCTCTTCTAAGTGCTCAGTTTGTGCCACTGAAACTACAGGCCTGAAAAGTGTCATTGAGAACTATACAAATATGAATATCCCTTAAATCAACTAATCAGAGACTGCTGAAACATCCTATGCAGCTTAAACAGTGACAGACAAACCCTCTTAATCTATATGCTTCTTCATGCTATCAGTGCTCTGACACAGCAGGAAGCCTGGTGAATGCTGCTAAATACAACATCAAGCTTGATCTAGTATCTCCTGCTTTTCCATGGAGCTTATTGCCTCCTAGGGAGTTCTGCACAGCTTCCAGCTGGTGCAGGTCCCCGTGTGAAGGATTTGCTGTAGGTATTCCCTTAGAGGTGAAAGAAGAAAGCAATGATCTCTGAATGTCCTCGATGGCCTTTATAAAAAGGCAGGTGCTACGTGCTTTTTAATCACACCTGTTAAATTTTAGCCTAAATTAGGTAACATTGTAGGGGCAGCCAATCTTTCTGACACCATCACCTCCAAGACCCATACTCTGCACTAGAAAGCTTATGAACAGGGAAGGACTGGGAATGGTAGCCTGCAGCAGGTAATGACAGAGGCTCTTCAAGCATCCTATTGCTGCACTGTAGCACAGGGCTGGGATAAGCACTGTACTGTGTCCCACAGCAGTTTGCTGATGTTCACATCACCCACCTTTCCTAACCTGTGCCCTCCCACAGCTAGGGTGGCAAGTAGCCTACCAACCCTAAGGCAGATTTGCCAGGGGGGCTGCACTGGAACTGCTCAGAAGTCACTACTGCTTCTCAAGAGATGGGAAAATCAAAACAGGAACAAAATACCAGTCAGAAAGATACAGGGGTTGAAATGCTACAGTTATGAGGGACACAGGATAGAAAACTTCAAATTAGGTGGGTTTCACACTGGTATTTTGTTCAAATAATCTGAATAGACAGAAAGGAAGTAGATACTAAAGAGAGGTGGCAGAAAGCCTTAAAGAAAATTAAAACCTCCCTTATGTTAGGAGTGACATCTGTGCAGTCACACTGTCTTCACCATCAGTTTGGACTTATACATCCCTCCGTTTTCTTAGCCCTTAAATGTAGCCAGTATCTGTCAGCACCAATACCAGAAACTTGTCAGTGTTAATAAAATATGCTAAATTCACTCATCTCTAAGTAGGCAAAAATTAAATATAGGGAGTAACTACAACATTACATGCTCTCCCCTGAAAAGATGTAGAAAACACCTCAGGATTTTAGAATTGTTTGTTAGGCCTTGAAATAAAACCTGCCCCTGCCTCCTTCCATCAAGGAACAAATAATTAAGCCCCTCAATGAAGCAGGAAGTGTATCATTACAAACATTAAGAAAAATTATTGGGTTTCAGTAGGAACTTGTTGACAAAATAAAATCATTTATTTAGGTAGTGTCCGAAGATGTAAGAATGTTTATATTGTCCAGAAAGCTGGGGTTCCAAACACAAAAAGAAATAAACAGTCCCTAGCTTCAAAAATTTTCAGTTTCTGGGATAAGCAGAGAGCTGGGAAATTGCCATATTTATAAGCACCCTGAGAAAATTGTATTAGTGTCTTTCTCATTTGGTTCATGCTTCATGATATTGCAGAATGGTTTGGACTGGTTAAAGATCATCTAGCTGCACCCCCCCTGCCATGGAAAGGGACAGCTTCCACTAGACCAGGTTGCTCAAAGCCCCATCCAACCTGGCTTTGAACACTTTCAGAGATGGAAGTGTTGCCATTTTTATCAAGTAAGTCACACTTCAGCTTCTGATATCAGACTTTAATGGGAAAACCATAAAGCCAATCTTTTGGACACCTCCACTCCCCAAGTCACAATATCCTGTTTTTGTACATGTTAAATAGCAAAATGGAAAATGGTATCTAATCCACAGCCCCCCGTTCTTTCCAGCAAATAGTGTCATCATTGCTGAAAGCCACACGTGTAGTTTCAGCTACAGCTGTTCTCACAGTCACTGCAAGTTGGCCTCATGTCCCTAAAATCCTTTTTTCTATCCTATAGTATCTTATTGGTCCCACCTAGTTACAATGCAGACGTACAAGACAATCCAAAACAGTAAAAAAATACTTATGGATTGATTTTCTTTCTCTGCTGTCCTGGTCTAGCAGGAGCAGCTGAAAGTCAGATGAACGGGATGACTCCTACTGCTTTGTTTTACCACGTCTGCTCCTGCACAAGAAAGTCACAGACTGGAAGAACCTTCACAAAGGATAACTCAGCTTTCTTTGCAAAGAAATTATCTTAGACATACCACACGAAATTTCTGTGAAATTATGTTGGCTACTGGATGCAACTGCAGTGATTTGTAACTAAACCAAATCTGCAAAACTCCACAATCTCAACATGGTGCTATTAATGTTTCAGATGTCTCATATATTACACTGACTCTTCACAAAGAGAACTGCTTCCTCTCATGTTTGCAAGTGTGTGAGCTCTGTAGTTCCTAAAGATCTACTAAGGATCCCAAACTAAAAGCAAGTAAAGGCCACTTCATGACAGAAACTAAACTAGAGAAAAAGAAATGTATTTCCTGACAAGTTTATGCAGTTTCCAGGATGCTGAAGAGCTAGAGGAAATAATATCAAGACAATTTAAAAGGTTTATTAGCTAACTCACCATTTATCATTCCAGTGACATGTTGACAACATCAGAACTGAGGTAAGTCTACAATATACAAAGGTTTCTTGTACTACTTACATGGGCTATGTCTAGCAAGTAGATCTGGAGGAAGAAAGCAGTAGCACTCCCTGCCACTTGGTTTGGGGCACCTCCTATTGCATAGCATAATTTGCTGCAAATTGACAGCCTGTAATCCTGTCCAAGATGAAGCAGAAAAAACGTAAGGTACATGCCATAATAAAAAAAAAAAAAGGTACACAAGTTAAAAGCTACAGAAGTTATAAGGTTAAAGTCTGTGGTTAACTCCAAATTCATGGATTCACTTCACAGTTATTCCACTAATAAATCCGTATGTCCTCAACCCCTATCATCAACAGACATTTGTATGCTCACTGCTTTGATTTTCAATGGTTCTCTTCCTTAATTCAGCCCCTAAAACCAGATTACCATGTTCATACAGGGGAATCTAGGCTTACCTACCTGATCCTCACAAGTCATTAAGAAGGAACAAGTCTACAAATAAGCAAGAAGCAAAGGTGTACATATACTGTTACACTATATTGTCTTTGAATGTTTAAATCAAATTTTTTTAAAGATTTTTTTTTACTTTTTAAAGAAGATAATTTCTTATATTAATATCTCAGACCATAATAACTGATACATAATCTCATAATTAGATAACATTCATAGAAGGGAAGTTCCACAGTCAAATGCAGACTGAATAGATCCCAAATATCTGTGCTCTGTTCCTTCCTAGCATCAGAATGATTTGGGTTGGAAGGGACCTTAGAACTCATTTAGTTCCAAACCCCCTGCCACAGGCAGGAACACCTTCCACCAGACCAGGTTGCTCAAAGCCCCATCCAACCTGGCCTTGAACACTGCCAGGGACAGGGCAGCCACAGCTACTCTGGGCAACCTGTGCCAGCGCCTCCCCACCCTCACCATAAAGATTTCTTTCTTATGTCCCTCTTTCATTTTATAAACCACTGCCCCTTGTCCTTTCAATAGCTAAGGCCAAGATAACACAGAAAAAGTAAATTTCTCTACATACAGTATACACAATTCTAAAATCTTTTTATAACACAAAGAATGTTAAGTTTTTAACAATTACTTTTATTAAAGTTGTGGTACAGGAAACAGTCAATTAAGATTCAAACTTACAGGCTGTAGGCAGCACTCCTGTCTTTACATCAGTTTCATGGCTATAAAATTTACAATCTTAATACATCTTTCAGAAAAGCAGTCTCACTGTGATTCCACACACTCCCAGGATGCTGCTCAACTATCTTCTGAATCACATTCCCAGATCACCTTTAGCTTAATACTTCGGTCACAGCAGTAGGCAAGTTTTCACTAGATTTTGTTTATGAATGTTATTTACAGAATCAAATAAGCTGTCAGATAGACACAGCCTACAGAGATATTGCATTTAGTCACCCACAGAAACACAGGGCATCAGCAGTTCATGAACTTCCTAAAATGGAGGTTACATCCTGATCACTGTTCAAAACCTCTTTTCCTTTTATTTTGCCTAATTACTTTTGGAACTCATCTGGATATTAAGCCATAATGCACCATGGCAGTTCTATGCATGATTGACACGTATGATGAAAAGAAATGCTACTGCATTCACTGCAGATCCTTTGCCTAGCAATTTAACCGAATGCCCCTGAGTTTCTATCTGCTGAGGAAATAATCATTCAGAGTCTACATTCTGGTGTCACCTTCCAAAAGCAGCAGCCCATAATCTGTTTTGACTCTCCAGATGGAAGTTCTATGGTAATCACTATGCTTTCTACATCAATATCCTGTAAGACAGTGGTAAAAATGAAGGTAGGTCTCTGCACCAGTAAAGCTGGTACATTTCCTTCTTTTTAGCTTCCTGGGCTTACACGTAAGAGTAGAAAAGATAAACATGGCAGCTGCCTGTTAAAGATCTAGAGGATTCAGCCCCTAGCCTTGGTTGATTTTACATGATATTTCTAATAAATGGCACCAGAAACTGTCTTGAGAAGGACAACATCGCATTTGTACAGACCAGCGTGATCAATGACAGTCACTAGCCACGAGCAGCTAACAGGGTTTTTCTCTTAAGGCTGAACTTCCCTGCTGCATTGCTTCCTCAAGCAACAGAAATTGCTCGAGTTCTGTGAAATGCAGTGAAAGCTTTCACCTGTGCAAGTCTGGCAGTAAGTACTCAGAAAATTCACTGGAGAGCTGAATGTGTAGGCAGTGGTCAAATAAGGCACAAAATACAAAGTATTTACAATGCAAATTTTGTTTTGAAACCCCTGTGGTGTAGTTGAATGTCAACATCAAATTGCTTCTACAAGCTTTAGAAGAAACATGAAAGGATGGAGTGGGAGGTAAGAGAAAGGAGGGTCAAATTAAGTTATAATCTTTTTTTGTTCTCAGATTAATTTGACAGTTTTACACTTCTACATGCCCCCACCGTATCAAAATTAATTGTGTTTCAAGGTAAACCAAGAAAGCATAATAGTAAGGAGATTTGATTTTGCTCCTTAAATAGAAGAATAAGGGTGAACATTGTTATAGAAAATGAATGCATCTCATAGACTGTGGTTCCTTTATTTTTAATTCTCTTGTAAATTAAAGCCGTATTTTTGTTGCTTGTAAATGTTCCCTTCCCCAACAGAATAAAAATTGAATACAATGGTTATAACAGACCATCTTGTTTCTAAAGAAAGTATTTAAGCACACCGAAAACAGCTTTTTGCAACTTTGTGAAGATATTGCATGCACATTATGGGCATAGGGAACAGCCCCATTTTGTCCTAAGCTATTCTTTATCAGTTGAGTCCAGAACTGAGCCAACAAGTAGTTTTAAAGCAGTAAGAGGAGAGAGCAAAACCTGTGACTCAAAGATAAATGCTAGTCTAGGTTTATCTGAGAAACAATGAAAATGTAGCTAACGAGGAGCAGCTTTTGCGCCAGCTTTCCTCTCAATGTAGAATTAATACTGGTAATGTTTCTGTTCTGTGAGTGACCATGCAACTAACTGCCTCAACCCTGTGTGTGACAGTCACAGGCAGCATCCCAGGTCCCTCAAACCAAACATCTTAAGGACTGTTCAGGTTTTTTTGAAACATCAGCCCACCCCTGAGTGAAAGAAGTGACAGAAGCAGGGCTTGGGTGTAGACACCTAGAAAAGGCATGAACAAGGCAGGATACAGTGGTTCTTTCCCAGGATACCCTTCCAGCTGCCAGAAACCTAACACTGAGGAGCTCTGTGAGCCAAAGATGGCACATCTCCGTCTAAAAATCTTCAGGTTTCTCCCACAAATCCACTGATACTTTCTGAACACAAAACTTCAAGCCAGAGCAACATGTGCCCACAGGGCCCGATGAGCTCCATAGCTTGAAAGCCCTCCACCACACTGTTAGGTTACTTTGGTCCCTCTGTTTTGAAGCTGCCCCTTTCCCAGATTGATCAGATGCCCCCTCAAGAGCCACGGAGCGAGGGGGGGTCCTCACTCATTTCTCACCTCCCTCTCCACCTCTCTCTCTACAAGTACCGAGCCTCAAGAGGAATCATTTAGCTAATCTCTCACTCGCAACACACATCTGCAAGTTCTAAGTTGATGAGGCTGCCTGAAGAGAAAGACCCCCTCCCGCCCTCACCTCTCCTGCAACCCATCTGGCCTGATCAGAGAGAGTCGCAGAGGAGAAGGTGTGGAAAGGGACCTGAGATGGACACCCATCACCGAGATGGGCAGTAAATATACAGTGCACTCGAAGAACAATACCAGAGTTACACCGAGCTGTTTGGTGAGACAGAAGGGGGGCGGTAAGGGCTGAAGAGCTATTTCAGGTACCCGGCTGAGACAGGCTGCGCCGCGCAAAAAGCACCACACAGCACACGGGCTGCCCCAACCCCCCAGAGTGCCCACCAGGGCCCTCCCCATAACCTGCCGACGATGAAAAGAAAACTAGAGCGGGACCCCATCCCCTTACCTCCTCCGCCGGGCGCTCCGGGATGCCCTTCGCAGCCCCGGCCATGGCACAGCGGACAGACCACCCCCGTCCAGCACCTGCGTGCCCGGGGCGGGGCGCGGAGGGAAGGCGAGGGACAGCGCATGGCGTCGTCCCCCCGCCCTCACGCAGCGCCTGGATGGGCAAAGATAGCTGCCCTCCAGGCTCGAGAGAGGGCATTCCCCTCGGGAGCTCTTCTCCTGCCTCGGGTCAGGGCTGCCCAGGCGAGACCGCCGAGCCGGCAGCGGCAACAGCCCCTCCGCCTCAGTCCCTCCATGCCACCTCCACTGTGGAGAGGAGCAAGGCAGCTCTCCTCGCTTTTGCCTGCGGTGGCTGCCGCGGGAGCCGCCCGAGAGGAAAACCCTGTCTTTACTGCCCTGTAAGCCTCCTAACCGACCAGCCCGCGCGTCCCAAGGGCCGCCCCACCACCCGCCCGGCCAGCTCCCTCAGCGGCACCCCGCAGGCGAGGGCGCCCTCATCGGGTGTGAAGGTTCCTGGGGCTGTTTTCACCCAAAGTATAAAAATACCGGCTCTGCCCTTTAAAGAGATGCAGTTTCCTGACTGATGTGAATTTATAACCACGGCACCAGCAATGCTGTCGTCTGTAGACTGGACCCGAGATCACGCAAACCCACACTTGGCCCAGGAAGCAGCCTGTGGAAAGAGCTGCTGCTGCTGCTGCCGCCTTCGGAGGCGGTGGAGCCGACACTCTTCTTTGGGCAGCAAAAGCTCATCAGCCCTCTTGCCCACAGGAAAAGGGCCATGCAAATCCTGGACAAAGTCATTTGACAAGAATAATTGCAGAAAAATTGTGAGATTCTGAAAGAACAAGGCATTAAAAAATCTAAAGAAAAAAATAAATATCTTAGAAACAGACCTTCAACACAAAACTGAAATTGTGGCCTTAATAGGCCTTTGTTGAAAACTGAAGCTTTTTGGGCTCCAAAGGGCCCCTAAAATCTGAGGCTCCAAAGCAGAGGTGGACTGCTCAGTCCCTTGACCCCAACATTTCTTTTAAAATACCAAGCTAGATACAAGGTATGTATGCATCTAACATTCAAATTCAACATTTAGGATATTCATTTTCTCTTGACACAGTGTCCTCATAACAAGTTAAATCTTTGTTACCCGCATCTGGAAAAGAAAAAGAAAACCTGAAGAAAACATTTCCTTTCTTTCTTCTTTTCTAGGCTATTTCAATTTTGCTGTAAATTACATTAAATACACAGGCTTTACTCAAAACACCAAAAGCTTGTGAGAAACAATTAAGTGATAGCATTTGTGTGTTTCACAAACTCAAGCACTGATCAGGCTACTTTTACTGTTGTTTGACCAATGCACAATAGCCGTCTACAGAACTAAGCAAGAAATTAGGCTGTCCAGGCACTACAAGTAGCCAATCAGTCTTTACAGACTAACTGAAACCAATTAGATTTAGGAGAGCCCTGTATTCATTCCAAAGATTTTCTCCAAATCAGTGAGTTATCCAGTCACAGTTTGTTGCCTTTTTTTTAAAGGCACTTTCTAGCCTAACAGGGATTAGTGCAGTCAGCATCACTCCTGATTTTTTTTTTAAAGATTTGCTCCCATTTTGTAATTAAGATCATGACACTTTCAAATTGCAATTACATAGAAATACACCAAAGCTGTAGCCAAAACTAGCCTATTTCAGTAAAGCACAATAGATAGCCAGACAAACTACCCAGTCTCTTATGATAGTGGTAGCAGATATGAACCAGTGTTGAAATACTGCTCCTTTCCAAAACCATGATTTTTTGACAAGCAAAATGGATTTACCTGTGTTAAAATTTGACACTTCTCCTCATCAGTCTTACACTACTTACTCCTTTGAATTTCTATGCTATAAATGCAGGAATAGTATATTACTTTGACTAGCATATACCAATTTAACTGTGACTAGCTTGAATTCTATGTATTTTGACATTTCATGCACCTTTTAGATACGAACAACTGAGCTCACAATCAAGCATGTAAGGTTTTCCAGCAGTTTTACATTAAGACAAATTCAAAAGCACCAGTTAACAAAATTCACTGTTCTGGAAGTTCTGCAGACTGAGGGTCAGATCTGTGTCTGTGAGTGACTTGTCTCTTCAATTTTACTAGTAGATTTGTCTGCACATTCCTTCTATTACTAGAGATCTGGTAGGCTTTACATATAGTAGAGGAGTCAGTGCAAGAGCAAAGAAAATCTAGTTGGATTATTTGCTACATAAACCTGAATGATACACCAGCACATCAACTTTATAGGACTGAGAACAGTTAACTGCATAGGTTTCTGAGATTTGCTTTCTGAATACACTGAATAGGTATTTGTGCAGTTGTCTTTCATTTCACTGCACTCAAACATACCTGGAGAGATGATGAAGCGAAGGAGTTTTTACATTCCTGGGAATGAAGCAAGCACATGTCTAGTTTGAAGTAACAGAACTTTTATGGAATTCAAGTCAGTCCAATTAAATAATTTTTCTACTTAGAAAAAAAACAGGAAATCTCAAACCCATCTTTCATTTAACAATGCAAAAGAATTACAACCCCATTCGCTTGCATAGGTAGCACAGACTAGTCAGCACTCATTGAAGTCTTACTAGAGACTCTAGCTCCATTCACAAACCCACATGCTACTTGGCAAACACAGTACAAAATATTTAATTTTTATGTTGATATCTCCTTTAGCAAAACATGGAATAGTTGGCTACAGATTTTATGCCTCAAGTACATGAATACCAAAACAATCAATTTGGTTGGAAATGGGGCAGGGGGAGTGAGGGGAAGAGGAAAGAAACCACAGTTTTCAAATAAGGATTTTCAACGTCTTTGAAACTTGGCCACATGCAGTTATTGTCTCAGTTCAGGACACAGGCAGATACATAGTATGAAGCCAACTACATCTGTCTAAACCACTATTTTGTATGGTAATCTCCACAAAAGCTGAAGTTTTTGTGCGACAAGGCTATAAAAGTGGGTTTCTATCCTAATGAGCTAGGTAGTTTAACATCACAATCTCTAAGACACTCGTAGGAGCACAAGAGAGGCAGAAACCCTCTCTACCACTAGTACTAGTAATAACAATTCCTTCAGAACTCTCAGGCACTTCATATGCAGTATGCGCCAGACTACCTCATTTCTATCTTCTCACACATGCACCTACCACCATGTGAAGACCCGACAGAACATTACACTGCAGATCTTGTGAAAAAATTAAATCCTGAAGATACTGAAGGTTTACAAGTTAGATAAGAGTTCAAATGTGAGCTTCCCTGAACATCTGTTGCCTAAAAGTTACTGTGAGAAGAATGCAAACTGCAGCAGCTTACTCTAAAATGTAAGTGAAACAATCTGTTCAGTCTCACTGTCCAAAGTGCAAAAATAAATACTATTTGTTCCTTAAAAGGTGCTGTCAGTAGTAAATAAATCTCAGAGAACTGTTCCACTTAAATATACTTACTAAGAACTTAGAAGCTTTCTACCTAAGGAATTGTAAGGATGACCTGTTCTACAGTTACCTCTGCTACATTATAGCCAGTCTCTGACCACCAAATTTAGTTAAAAATACTTCTATTATAGCAAATGATAGCACAGCACAAATTTTGCTCTCTAAGAGCACAGTACGGGAGGATGAGAGTGCATCCAGATATTGCTGGTTACATTTTTGGTTTTGTATAGTCCCACCTGCATGCAGGTTTTGGCCAGTTAAAAGCTAATTTGATCATGTACTTTTGATAGTGTTTTTTCGCTCATTCTTGAGCTGTCCATTGGGTGTAGCAGCAGTTTTATAGTCATTGTCAGGTGTTTTCATCACTAAGAGCCTGAAAGGTTCAGTTGTTTTCCAAAGTCTCTGAACAACAACTGCATTTTGAAGCTTTGCTTCCTGTAGTGTGAGTGTCTCATCTCGCAGCTCTCGAAATGGCAGCGAAGTAGTCAGCATAAAGGGGACACTTCCCTCTGATCCTTGATACTTTGTTATGAAGTCTCTGACATGGCTTATTCTGAGAAGAAAGAAAGAGAACTCAGCATTAGAGTACTCCACTGCCAGCACAGACCATATGCACAACAGACAGTCACCACAAAAAGAAAATGAGACAACCACTTCATGAAATAGCTGATGGCGCAGAAATGGAGGAGTATAGATGGATGGAATCCTAAAGTGCCTGATCCACTTGGGAGGCAGTGACCAAGGCTCGTCTGCTCTGAGAGCATTCCCAAGGGAAAAAAGGATGAGTATCTTACTCTGAGCTCTCAAATGCTTCCCTGTGGCTCAGATGGTAGTTACACCAGCCTACCATTTCTTAACCAGCTGGTGGAGCCCTTACCTGAGGTTTCTGCAGCCAAGAGGTAGAATTAAATGTATGCCTCTAGTGTGTGGTAAATGTAGCAGAACCATAACACTAAAAAAAAAAAAAGGTTTGCAAAAATTGTCTGGATAGCTTATCTAGGTCTAAATACAGTCTCCTTCAACCCAAGCAGGTGCATCAGTGAATTCATTACAGATTCAAGCTGCCTGTTGCGAAGAACCTTGCAACAAGTGAGCAAGACCGAGGTTTTGCTATGGAAGAGTCAGAATTGACCAATTTAATTAGAAAATGAAGATGACAGGATACATCTATACCAGTAAAATAAACATATTGTCAATGGTCATTCCCTCATCCTGAGGCCAGCTGACAGCCTCCTGCTACTGACAAATTATTAAACTCATCCTTCGTCTCCCCCATGCACAGGGTAGCCAATGGGGTTTAGTGCATCCTGGAATACTGAGCTAAGATCCAAACCAAGCCTAGGTATCACTTGAGAAACTGCTAGTTGGCTTGGCCAAAATCATCCTAACAGTTAGGCAGCACAGATGACCTTCATGGCTTAGCCACACTTACTAGGCCAGATATAGCCAGGTTTTAATTCCTGTGCATGCAGGCCTCAATCAAGAGACAGCACTTGGTCTTACAGGCCTAAAGCCTGAAAAATCTCAAGCAGGAATAGATTTTGATTTTGACATTTACAGGTGTCTACATGCATGATACCGAAGTTGCAGCTCAGGCAACTGGTTGCCAGCTACCTGCTTTAGGACGGACAAGTTCCTGTCCAGGCTCCATAGACGATGCTCCAGGGTCACACTAACTTTGCAACTGCTTAAGGAAGAACACAGCTGAACTCAAGACAGTGCTAGGTGTGCTGTTCCTACAGCACTGCTCTGCTTCTTGCTTTACTCTCATGTCTCCGCAACTCCCCATACTACAGCCCCAATGCTGTAACGTCAACCTTTCATCACGAACCACATCTTATCTAAAGCAGCAGTTACCGTGGCACACACACACTCTATTTGTAAAAGGGTAGAAGTAATCTATCTACCCAGGCACTGTAATATATATATATATGATACAGGTTATTGACCTGTAGTTTAATTAACAAGGAGTTGACTGTTTTCTGCTTCTCCATGAAAAGGAGTGCTACACATACAATCATAATGCTTAAGGGCTTTGGACTCTAAAAGGATTTCCTCCTATTTCTCTTTAGGTCATGCTCAAATACTGTCTGTAGCACAAATATGCTGATCTTGTGATGAAAGGATAGGTTATGATGGAGTATTTATTTCAAACTACTTCAAGAAGAGTATCACATATTGTTGTTCTGCTTATCTCACTTTTTTTTTTCTTCCTCCAAAAGCACTTAGCAGCTGTTCAAACTGCTATTTACCATGAAGACAAAAAGGTTCTAAATATACTTAAATGTGTGAAACCTGAAATAATTAAGATATTAAGCCCTTCAGTGTTTATAGCTGAAATAGCAGTTCATCCTTTAGCAGTACATGGCAACAGTGTTTTAGTTTATACCTTATGCCACTAGCAGTAATAAATTAGTACAAGTTAAAGAAAAAGTCACAGCCATTAACCTTCAGCTGCTGAGCTTTTCTTCTGACCAGCCACAGACACACACTGTTTACCTTGACAGCAGCCTGGGTTGTATTAGAGCTATGATGACTTCTAAATTACTTCACAGAGAAGCACAGGAAACATATCCTTTCTCTGGTGTGACTGTCTAGTAGTGGAGTAATTCCTTAAATTACAAATTTGAGAAAGGTCTCTAAAGACAGCAGATCTACAATTGAAACAGTTAATCCTACTTTCTCAAAGATCCTGCAGACATATGCTGCGCCAATACCTTCTTATGTAATCACCATTTATAAGCCTCTTTGAGAGCTGGAAATTTTACTACTTAAGAATTAAACACACTGCATACATTCTACTGTGTCCACATTGATGTGCCAGTAATGACCCTCTGCTGCCTAGTGCACTGACTTTGGCCCTCCCAGGATGTTTCTGTGGCTCAACCCCAGAGTCATACCCTCCAGCTCCTACCTGTGGTGCTGTCTGTGCCCAGCGACTAGCAGGCTTTTTGCTTAGCAATTTGCTCCAGGTGTAGTCATTTTGTGAGAGATCTGTAATCTTAAAAAGCTGTTTCCTCTAGTAATGAGCAATACATACACCTTAACTTCCACTAACCTACCAACAGCTCCTACAGTTGCCTTAGAGTTTCATTTATGCTGAGTTATCTGCTGTCTACTAACATCAGTTCACGTGTCTCTTATGCTCCTCTCATCAGCTGAAAGGTTTCTTAACATCTGAAAAGCGGTTTTCTAGATGGAGCTGAACAGCAGTCCAGTGTTATGTGAACTGAGGAGGTAAGATGATTCACAGAAATTGGAGACTTTTCATGCCTACAGGCATAAGACAAGCAGGTCAGATGCAAATGTTTATGAAAGTGCTAAAATAAATCTTACCTGTGAGAAACATTGAATTTCTGAATTATCCTTTCTCCATCAGCTAACCAGATCTGGATGTTAGTGATAGGCTCCAAATTGTTTAACGGTACTAAAGGGAGGTGCCTTTTGTTGTCAGGTCCTTGATGATCATCTCTTACTTTGGAGATTATCCTTGGAGTAGCACTGAAAAGAAAAGCCAGATAAGGTTATGCCTTCTGTGTACATACGTGAGCTTGAACCTCCCTCCAGATCTTTGCTTCTGGAGCTTTCTGCCCTGGTTCAGGGTGTATTGATGACTTCTAACAAATATAGGAATACCGACATAAATGTCAGCTTTTCTGTTAAACTGTATGCCAATACTTTCTCTTGAAGACTTCAACATGCTAAAGAATCTCAGTTTGCTCATGTTAAACATTTTTACAAGATGGAAAGGAACTTAAATATCAAAGGATTAAATAGGAATACACAAGAGATAAAACAGTCTGAACATTCCTCGTGCGTTTTTTGTACTCTAATCACACAGGTGAAACTTTAAGGGGTTTGAGTATTGAATTTGCATACTCAATTTTCACTGTAATGTGATTACAGTAACTCAATTTAAGTGAATGCTGTTAGCCTCGATTTAGACCCCAGAAGCATCTATTTCAGCTTAGAAGCATTACTCATCTATCAGAGAAACTGAGTTCATGTGAAAAATCCAGCCTGATGCACACAGCATTGCATTTTGGGTTTTTTCTAAATCACTACCACAAGGGCAAAGATCCATAAAATGACTTCACAGAATACAGGGACCTCAGTCCAAGTGCGTGGTCTTAAAAACAATAAATTACTGGCAAAAATTTTTATTCTGAAGAAATGTCTAGAGCTTACTGCTGCTCTCAGGACTAGGCTTGTTCAGCATGTACTCTTTAAGTCATCAGAAAGCCTGATCCAACAGGCATATCCTCAGCCCACGAGAGTATAACCAGATGTTTGCTTACAAAACAATAGCAGTGATTTAAGGAGTTACCATTTCTTCTGAGCTCAGCTGTGGTCACAAACTACACAAATATTTCACAGTGGTTTGCTGAAAAGCTTTCTCTTTGCACAGAAAACTGATGAGATACTGTTTCTTGAGAGAGCAGTCGGTAACCAATGGCCACAGCGCAACAGTCTTAATACTACACCTGCTTTGCATCCTTATGTTCTTGTGCGTATCTTAGTTTAATCATAAAGCAGAAAAATCACAGCAAATTTATTACTCAAACAAATACAGCTAAGGACTTAATATATTCAGGCTAATAAAGTCTTGGGCTCAAAAGTCCTGCTCAGTCTGAGGTATTTAAAAAACTTAATGACCCACTGCCTAGTTAAGTGCTCTCACTTCCAGGCTATCAGCCAGCAGAGGCACTTTTTATTTCCTCCATTGAAACTCTGCAAAAAGAATGAGACTCAAGGAATCTCATTCCTAAGTGAGTAGTAAGTGATGTTCATTGCAACTGGAGGCAGATGAGAAGCACAGAACTCTTTTGTGTTACACAGAAATCAGCTGGGGCACAAGAACTTGGCACCAATATATTCCAAGAGGCACATGTGTACAATATCCTGGTGCTCCCAGTACAAGTGACTTATTACCACCCACCTACCTGTACTGATTTACTTATCTCACACCCAGGCTCTGTTTATGCTTGACCCAAATACAAAATAAAACCTAACTGTCCTCTACATCTGGAAAAAAACACTTGAGAACCATCAACACTGTTAAACAGTCTTGTGAGCAGAGCGAAAAACCTCCACAAAAGTTCAAGCCCTACTTCAGTACAGCAGTGATCAGTGTTTGCTGTCTACTTTATCAGTTCCTTGGTGTTCAGTTCCAGATCCAGACACTGAAGCATATGCAGTTGTGTATGCACCAGCTGACCCCAGTATAGTGGAGGCTGGAGAGAGGTAGTCAGCCATGCAGATGCCAGGCAGCTGCTTTAGCCTGGGCTCAACTACACTGTAGCTTGGTCACAGTTGTAGTTCACAGAACTGTCTGAAATGGATATGGATTTTGGTGTCATTCTCGAACCAACTTCCCTCACAGTCACTGTGGTAGGCACTTAAGAGGATTCTTTCAGTAGCCTGTATGTTTGAAACTGCAGGCAACATGCTAAGTGAAGCTGCAAGAGAAAGTCAGAAGATCTATATTCACTAAGGTTTAAAGCATTCCTATACTTAATAACTTTGCTGACAGATAAAACCAATCTAGTGGTGGGAGTTTTGACCAAAATCACAAAAGCAAGAACTTAAGTCTCTTATTTGCCTCAGATCAAAGCATTATCACCCCTTTTAAAGGCTTATTTCTGTTATAAGATTATACAAAGAAGATGTAAACTAAAGATTGAAAAGACATAAGAGCATCCTGTCAATTTTCTAAAAACAAGAATCCCAAGAATTAGGTATCATACCTTACTGTGACTAATGGTTAAGAAGCTTGGCACACAGTGTTTTACCCTAATGAAGTTATAGAGCAAGGCCACTTTGCTCCAAGGGATTTCAGTCAACAGTTTAATTAACATGCTTCTGAGGCAGTCCTTAAAAAGCATTGATAAGATGAATAGAAAAGCATAGTCACAAATCTTGTTATAATCCCAGACTCTTGAATGCAGCTGAATGGTGGTAGACAAACCAGAATATATCTATTAGTTATATGGGTTCATCTGCCAGGGCCTAGGCTAGCTTGGGTAAGCATGGGTAAGCCCTTCCCAAATCTTCGTTTGCGAAGCCAAGCCATCAATCAATCATATGGGTTCATAAGGTACATTGGAAAATAAGTCTCATTTGTTTCTCCAGTAAAACAAAGAGAGGGATCAAGCTCATGTGAGTTACATCAACCACTATATTTCTAGTTCCTCCATTTTTCCCCCTCTATGAAAAGTTATAATGAGCCACTCAACACACCAATTCATAGTGGTTCATCTGCCACATAATCCTTCCACCTGGGAACACTGGCAGAAAATCGATAGACTATTAAAAGAAAGTGGTTTTGCAAAGCAGAACTTTAACTGGGTCATAAACTGAAGTAAACTGTTCAGTCATATGTCTCATTTCTGATTAAGCACACAAATGCAACTGTGGGAAGAGAGTAAAACAACTTAAAACTTCTTACAGGTATCGGCACCACTACTGTTTCCCCACAAAGATTTTCGCTGAAAGAGTAGCATATGCAATGGACATTTATTAACATCAGGAAGTGAGCACTAGTTTATTGAGTAAGAGCACTCACAGATCATGGTTCCAACATCAGCAGAAGTATTTACTAACCTTTAAATGAAAGGCTCTGATAGCATAGCACTGACTGGAGCAAGAGTAGATAAAAAAAAGGCATTTTATCTAGTCCATGAAGAAAAAAAAAGAAAAATGCTGAGCAAGTTGTAGGATGTCTCAGTGTACAAGACCAGCCAACTGAAATACACAGAATAGCATCCTTCCAGAGCCTAACTTGCCTTTTGGGAAGCAAGATCATTACTTGCTGTAGGCATGACAGAGCATGACAAGCAATAGAACACCCTCCCATTTAGCAATGGTTAGCAGCAGAAACTCAGTACACTAAAGACAGTTTGCTTTTGCTATATAGAGGTCTACTGTTAGATAAGGTTAAGCTCATGACTCTTGTTTGCTTAGGATTTCAGTGCTACCAAAATCAAGTCCTGCAGCATTTCATCCATCTCTCAAGGGAAGACTTTTCCTATTGACCATATCTACTCAAGCATGCAGCAACTGAATGGCTGTGCTATAGAAACAGATAAATCTGATAAAACAGATACTTGCTTCTCTGAGGCAGCCTGGAACAACTCATCCTTTACTATTATCAGTCACTTATTCTGCACATTATTATCTTCTTACCCTGCTGCCTCATCTGTTCCTACCCAGGTGTCGTGGTTTAAACCCAGTCAGCCATAAATCATGCAGTCGCTCTCTCACTCCTCCCCCTTTACTTCCCCCGCTCCCAGAGGGATGGGGAGGAGAATCAAAAAGAATGTAACTCCCACAGGTTGAGATAAGAACAGTCCAGTAACTAAGGTATAACACAAATCACTACTGATACCACCAATAATAATAATGATAAGGGAAATAACAAGGGAAGAGAATATAATACCACCCGCCAACTGAGCCCGACCGAGCAGTGAGTGCCCTTCCAGGTAATTCTCAGTTACATCCTGGGCATGATGTGCTGCGTTATGGAATACCTCTTTGGCTAATTTGGGTCAGGTGTCATGTCTCTGCTTCCTCCCAACTTCCCCTCCTCCCTGGCAGAGCATGAGGCTCACAAAGTCCTTGGTCAGACTAAACATTTGGGCAGTAACTAAAACATCGGTGTTATCAGTGCTGCTCCCAGGCCAAAAGTCAAAACCACAGCACTGCACCAGCTTCTAAGGAGAAAAAATGACAGCTAGTGCTGAACCCAGGACACCAGGTCATGCTTTCCCTCAGAGTAAGCACTGGGCCTTAACAGCAAGACTTTTCTGCTTAATCAGAACAGCTCTTCACCTAAGGTTTTGCAGTCTGCCAAGCCACCCAGCAGGTCACTAGGCAGTCCCACCTGTGAAGGCTTCCTGTAGGCTCCTTGTCACTGAATGGGTTCTGTTCTCTAGGCTGAAGTCTCCTCTTATAGGCATGCAAGTCTTACACCACATGGGTATGTGAAACATATAATTTGGCTGGAGGAAGCAAAAGTCACAGGGATCAAATACAGGAATTCCTGGCCTGCACCTTTGCAACAGCCTTTCAAAATACAGTACTATTTGGTTATAAATCAAGTCCAGTTTTAGCACTGGCATTAGTGGCTGACACTTTCCAACTATAAGAGACTCATGGAGTAAACAAAAGATGATCACTGTAACACAGTATAATATCTTACTGCAATAAATATATGGTTAAATACTAAGGAATTTTAAGGGAATGCAAAATAACCTTACTACTTCATTTCCCTTTATAGGATTGTCATACTCCACTCTTCTTGCAAAATGTACTGCACATACAGCTTTAAAAGAGATTCTTTTCTCTTAAATCACAGAATAGTGACAGCCTTTCAGCTGGAAACAGTTCTGCTAGTATTGAGACCTTGAATAAAGAAAGCCAACCGCATCCTGGTTGTATTAACCAGCAGACAGTAGATTGTCAGAGCCAGTTATGCCCCATGCAGCACATGTCAGACACACCTAAATACTGCACTCAGATTTGGTACCCAAAATAAAGACAAACTGGAGCAAGTTCCATGGAGGGCCACCAAGATAGCCACAGGCTGGAGCATCTGCCCTCTGAGGAGAAGTTGGGTGAGGAGAGATTGTACAGCCTCTGGAAGAGATGGTGTTAGGGATGACAAAACCTAACAGGAGCCTGCCAGGGTCTGCAGAAGGTTATCCAGAGCAGGGAGCCAAGCTCATGGTGGACATAAACTGAAACAAGAGACGTTCACACTGGACACAGGAAAAATTTCTTTCCCATGAGTACAGTCCAGCACCGAAGCAGGCTGCACAGCTTCCACTCACACAGAATTTCAAAGTCCAACTCGATAAAAGCCCAAGCAACCTCATCTGCTCCCACACCTAATCCTGCTTTGAACAGAAGCTTGGATTAGAGAACTCCAGAGATCACTTCCAACCTGAATTATGAGAACCTTTACCACACGTATAGCTCACTTCAGCTACTCAGTCACAGATTACGTCAGACTACTCACCTTCCTAATCTGTAACCGTGTCCAGAAAAAGGATGAAACACTGGCTTTTGTGATGACAAATACAACTTATCTTTTTTATCTTCCACTTTCACATCTACCTCCTCTTTATCAAAAACTTTCCGTAGCTCAAAAGGCAGTTCCCTTAAGGAAAAAAAAAAAAAGTCATAAAAAGAGCTGCTACACAGTATATGTTTTCAGTATACCAAATAGGTATCTGAGGTCCCTGAACTGCAAATTAAATAAAAAGCAAATAATAAAGACATTATCATGCAAGTTGAATGATGTTTAAATTTACTCAGCAGTTACCACTCCAAAGCATGTGATGTGCAGGAAGTTTAGTATTGCCATACATTGCTGCAAAGGGCTCAATTATTTTATCCCCATAATGAAACAAGAAAAAAGAATTGGCTTTTAAAGAGAAAGAACTGAGTTTAGACACAACGTGTTTAATTACAAATAAACATGAATCTCAGCTTTTAAAAATTAGATCATTGCCAATAGCTACACTTCTAGTGTAGCAGTACCACCTCAGTAACGCTTTATTTGCATTAAGCAGAACACAACAATGCCTTTCTCTATGAGCTCTGATGCAGACAGTACATTTTTGGGTGGTGGGGCTCAGCTGGCACAGGGGCTATACTAAGTGCTCCTCTACCATCACCAATTATTCAGGAACCATCTTGTAATTAGTATGTTCACAAGCAAACAGTGGAAGAAAGGCAGCAAACTTTTGATGCACGCATACAAAGCGAGCAAAGCACTTTAAAAAGTGCAGTTAATTGCTATTACAACTAACACAGGCAACAGCTACAGAGGAGAAATAGTGTAAAAATAGTGGTTTTGATGGGCTAGCAAAGTATGCAAAATACAAAAATTACAATGGCTTAGTAGTTTCCCATACTTGAAAAGGAATTATTACATTATATTCTCAATAAAATTTTATTTGCCTCTGCATTTGAATGGGGTAAGGAAACAGACTACAAATTAAAGGCTCAAAATTACACTGGTTTATATGGTCAACCTGCTTTTTTAAAGTAACATTGCAAACACTAGCAAATAACACAAATCATGCTATCCTGATAACAAGGGGATAACAGTAAGACTGCTACACACAAATGACTGAGATAGCAAGTTTGGACTGGGAAGGGTGTCTGAAATATAAGATTGATCAGAGTTTCTTGATGTTAAACGGATAAACTGTGCCCATTTAAGGCTTATCATCAATAAAAAGGAAACAAAGACCATAAAAACAGAAATGCTAAACCCCTTGTGCATCAAGTTCGTTAGCCAAAGTACCACTGATGAGTAGCTCTTACTGGGTATTCTGATTTATTCGTTATTTCATTTTGCACCTGCTGTGCCCCCCACCAACACTCACTTTTATCTAATTCATCAGCAACTGTACGAGTGCTGCAATTGAAAGCTATATTAAACCTGTTGATGTTAAAACAGCCATTAGCACTGCAGGAACTGAGTCAGGCAGCGGCCTGCACTCCTACAGGGATACTGCAGTGCAGCAAAGCCAAGCAGCTATGTAAAAAACCTAGAGCATAAGCTAAGTGCTACCCAAAGCACACTAACTCAGGCTGATTAAGAACACAAAACTCACCCTTTTTTTATGGAGTCCAAGAACTGCTGGTTTGCAACATCAGTGTAGCTCCTAAGTTCACCATCATTTACTGTAAACCCATTTTTCCAAAGTTTAATGATTACATCAACCTATAAAGTAAGAACAATTCTCATAACACCGCTGATGTAAGAACAGCTTGGTATACCCACAGTACCCTATAACTGTAAGTCATCCACTGCACGGACTAAAAATACCAAGAGAAGGCTTGCTATAATCTGTTTCAGTTCTGTGCCAGCAGGCAGAACAACTGCAAGGGGTGAGTGACATTTCTAAATATCTTGTGTCAATCAGAGTTAGAAATAAACCTTCCCAATCATTTTGCTTCCCTATGTCAGGAACAACTTCAATTCCGCAGGAAAAAAAAAAAAAAGAAAGAATAAAAAAAAAAAAAAAGAGCTGGAATATCCCAGCCAGCTGCAACTCTTCAAGAGCTAATTTGAGAGTACACACATGCCTGGTGTTGGAACACCAGCAACCAGAATAGTCCAGCTGGGGATTTATTTGGGTAAAGCCTTGTTTTAATCATTCAGGAGGATTTTCTGCAAGTAAAGCACTGAAATACTTCACGCAGAAGCTTTCCACTCAGGAAATGTAGCAAGTATCAGAAAATTTACTTTCAGATAGTCATACATTTATGTCACCCTGGAATTCCTGGTGTATTCAAAACATTGGTATTAGGGCAATAAAAAAAAAAAAAAAAAAAAAATCACAATAGCTTACTAACTTTGCCAGAAAACATTCACTACTTTAACTTGTAGCTTTCACAATGTTCACTAAAATTTCTTCAACTTTAACATGGATATATATTTGGGATTACATTTTCGTATTTATGCATCACACCATTTAAAGAGCATTTGATCATTAAGGTCTGATCCCTGAAATAATCTTGTCTTGACAGATACTTGGCTGCATGTGAGGTATATAAAGCAGGTACAAATGCAGAATTCACCTCAGCTGGAAATCAGCTTGAACTAGGCTTGACAGTACTTTACAATTTCATCTTTTTTTTTCTTTTTTGCAGTTTAACTTGTTAGAAGATGATTGCTAAACACACTGATGACTGGTAGAGCACATAGCATGGGCAAACTGCTGAATAAAATAGCTTCTCTTTTGGTTGGGTAGTCTGTCAAAAAGGCACGCAGCACTCAGCAAAATGACATTCCTTTAAGTCTTCTGTCTTATGGCACCTATGCATACGGAAGTCTCATCATGGGAGAGTTCCTCTACAGTAAGCCAGTTTGCGAGTTTAACATAAACTATTCCACACCAACTCTGCATTTAGACATTGACAGAAGTACTGCCATGGAACACTATTTCAGAACTGGAATTTCCTGGATCCACTAACATGATTTCAGCAACGCCCACTGCAAATTTCTCCTTGACATCTTTGCTCTACATGGCTGTTTCTCCAGCCCCTGACCAGTCTTTGGGGAACAACAGAAAAATATGAAAAGGACAGAATCACTGAGATACAAGCCCATAGTAAACATTTCACTACTACCAGAACTATACAAATGAGAGAGAATAAAAAAAAAATCTGGCCTATGCCTCTAGAAGGAAAAAGCTACAACTCTTAAAACTTCTTATGTAACAGTACTTGTCATGATTCCTTGCACCTCATGATCAGTTCACTCCCCTTGCTAATAAAGCAGAATTGCCGTAGCCTATGCCAGTGTAAGTCCTAGAAGAACACTAAACCCACTATAAGTAAGAGCCAGAAGCACTGAAGCGTACACCTGGCTGACTAAGAGATGGGAGATATTCTTCCTGCTGTCTGAATTCCATGTGCATTTACTTATTTACAGATGCACTGGATGAGGCTGCTGGACTTCTAACATGTTTTCTGGGGTAATCCTGGAGTGCTGTTACTTCAAACATGAGTATTTTTTTTATTCTCTGCCTACCTGGTTCTTGACTGTAGTTGGAGGCATACATATAGCACCAACCTTCTGAGCTTCTTCAAAAAGATTATCTACAAAGTATTCACAGCTTTGTTCTGTGCCATTCAAAATCTGATCATCAGTTCCTGATTTACACCTGCAGAACAAAGGCATAAGTAAAAATGAAGCCTTGGATAACAGGTTAGAAGACAAGCAGTTACCCTAGAAGCTCAGTACCAAGAGGTGTAAAAGGGATGCTTCCCCACACCCAGGTGACTCAGTTGTTACAAAACATCAGGTCAACTCTGTATTGTGCCTTTTCTAGAAACTTCTTATGACTCTCTTACTGCTACTATTTGCATTTCAGAAGCATAAGTTAAAGAATTACAATAGAAAAGGTGAATTCATCTATGCAGAAGCTTCTAAACTTGGTATCAGTGCAAGGAACGCAAGTTAGATGATTCATACTTCTAATTCAGACCCTCAGACACGTAACTGCACACCAGCGAATGGCCTTCCTTAAAGCATTTCCATGATACAGGCTTGGGTGACTTCCTTTGCCATAAGCTTTGAAAACCACATACAAGAAAACTGCCCAAGGATTTACTTCCCAACTCCTACCTGGACCTCCCCATCACAGAAACATCATTGCTGTCCTTGGAAGTACATAAGAGAAACTCAAGAAAAATCAACTCAACACCACTTGAGCACACTGAAGGAATGCAGTAGAAGACTTCAGTACCGCGGAGACTGCCAGGTGCATCAACTACATCTTTTTGTAGAACACTGTATATGTAACAGCCGTTTCTGTTCAATTTTCACCAATCAAAATGCAGAAATATGCAACCTGAATGAACAACTATCTTTCAGTTTAAATCCTTTCCATAGTAAGAGGATTATGCAGCTTTTGGTAAACATTGCAGGAATTGTTCCTACTGGAGATTCAGAAAAGTCTATTTTAAGCAATTCAGAAGAGAAAAAAATCCCAGCTCTTGAAAAATATCCAGTTTTATGTAAAACTGCATTGAATTCAAGGGCAGCACTGCTTACTTGAATGGTAATTAGATACATTTGCATAAAAAGGAATTGTTTGCAGAGCATCTATGCACCACTAAGAAATCCCTACAGATTAACATATTTAAACAAAAGAAAAACTCAGCAACCTGAAAAAAGAGATTTCAGACGTGGGCCGTCCCCAGTTTAGTTTCTTAATGGAACAAAAGAAACTTAAAATGTTAGTCTGGGTATTCACTAATGATTTACCTTGGAAACAGAACTGGAAAACCAAACACCTCCATATCAAATACAGAGATGCACAGCGAGTTAGCATTTTGCAGGCTGCCTTTCTACTTTAAATAAAAATATTTACGCAGCCTTTTCCATCTCAAAAACATTGCAGGTATGTCAAAAATCTTTTAGCAAAACAATTTTTTTTTAACTTCAATGCATGTGGAGCAGGTGGACACAAAAAATTAACATGAAGTTTGAAAAGTCACAGCAGGACACTCAAACAGCAATAGCAAAGGAAGAGGAAAAAAGGGGTGGGAGGAACTGGGACCTACCATTCTTTCTTGACAGTTTTGATATTGTCCATGTCTTTCATTCTGGTGCTTCACCTAATTATGAAAAGAAGATGGTTTAAAGATCACCAAACTATAACAATTATACAAAATGCCCAGCACACTGCACCCTTTTGTAGCTGAAACACTATAGTTTTTCCTGTGTTGATAGTACATTTAACCAGAAACCTCCAAATGCCCCCCACCGATTCTCCAGATGGTTCTTTGTTTTCCTGCAGCTTCTAATTTAATGACACATGAACCATGCATCTGTCTCAGATATTCAAAACGAAGGTTACTTTTTAGAAATGAACAAAATAAATTCCACAATAATGTGAACTGAAAATACATGCCCTCACTTATGCTAAGCAAAAATATCATATGCCTTTTCTGAGCCACATGATTTTAAACGCCACTGATTTTTCACACACTGAGACAGTTGCAGAAAAACTGCATTGCCACTGCAGGCATTCTAATGACCTTCATCTTGATAGTGTGTGTTATCAAAAGGTGCAAGATTTGTCAGGTTCTACTTCCTACCATACCTCAACATATTGGTGCAGCATCCCAGAAACTGTGAATTTCTGGTCTCCTGTTTAGCTGGAAGGGAAATCTGGATTTGCAAGTACTAAATATACTACAGGATTAGTCTGCAGAATCAAAGAAATGCAGAATGCCACACTGATCTCATTATACTCAGTTCTGAGCTCTCTGAAAAAAAGTTACAGAAAGTCACAGAAAGCCAGAGACATCCCACCCGCCCAAAAAAAAAAAAAAAAAAATCCATACAGAAAACCCAGAATCACTCTAAAATTCGAAAAAAGCCCCCAGGAGAACATAAATCTTAAACTGCAGCTGTGTTTAAAGAGTTACTCCTGAAGACTGATGAGTACAGGTTACACAGATGATGTTCTGTTCTGGCATGTTTGGAATGAAGTCATGACATTCTGCATAGCTCTTAAATAGTGTCAAAGTGAGCAGTAATGGCCACTGTTCTCCTGAAAAGCACAGTGAGACTAAAATAAATTTTTAGTGGTCTTGACACCTAATTTAAGAAGGTGAAGTTAGGGGGAAACAATATTCACTGCAGCACTAACAAGAAAAGCCATTCAATTAGTTGGTAATAATTCATGTTCCTCAGGAGGTTGATACCGGTTAAATCCTTGTGAGACATCTTCTGCAGAAATGTATTATATAATCAGCCTTCAGGAAACACCCAAGATGGCCAAATAGATTCAGTCAACAGATAGTCCATAACAGGTTTTAAAGTTTAAGCAGCCCTCAACACAACCAATGCTTTTTATATGTTAGGTCAAAACATTATTCTCAGCACACCTTTGATAAGTCACACAAGATAAGGTACAGTCATCTCCCCTGAATGTTCTGCCAAAACATTACATTTGCGAGGCTGTGCTGGTACGTTATGACTTTATAAGCATATCTGATCATTGTACTTGGAAATTTGTACCTGCACTTGGAAAAGAGAACTTTCAGTATCAAGTAAGTATAGTGAATATATGTGCTTAAAAAATACCATTTTTCAATCTGCTCTCAAATTAAGTTTTAACACACTTCAGCACAAAGTACTTTTTGTGTTAATGTGCTTATCTTCTTATCTTTCGCTATTCAACAGAATACTCCCCAAAGCAACAAGAGCCACCTCCAGCCATCTGTTTTTGTTGATTCCCTGTGACATGTCATCAGAGCTGTTAAAGAGAGACAGACACAATAAAGCAGCTCTTCAAATTAATTCTTTTGCTACATTAGGCTGGCCTCAAATGTGCATGAACAGTATTCATAACTGGTCAGCTGTGAAATTCACTGTTCCTTCTAAAGTACAACAGCAATTATGCTTAGAAGAAACATTTGTTTTAATGTATCAAGGTAAAGAAATCACCCTATACAGCATACTGACATATACTATGACCAAAAAGCCATTAGGAGATAATGATCAGACTGCACTGCAAGCACCTCAGCAAGCCAACCCAACCAGCACAAACAACCTCTCCTGCCAAACTTCTGACAGTCATCCTTAGCTGACACTTGAAACAGTAAGAGTTTTGGTACATAGTTTTTGGGTAATAAAAGTATCACAGATTGGAACTTTCTGCATTTTAAATTTAATCTCTGGAGGTGGAAGCAGCAGAAACTAGCAGCAGCCCACCACAGCCACATCTAGTAACTGTGGGAGGATACTCTTGGCCTTTCCCAGCTCAGACTGTCATCTCCAGCCCCAAAGGCTCTCCACCAGCCGAAGCTCCAGCCCTGCAACCGGCTCCACGAGGAGGAAGCCGATGACCCAGCAGTGTCATTTCATAGATGGTTCTTGCAAACAAGCAGCTCTCACCTACACCGTTACAGACATACTAGTTTTTGCAGACATTTTTGCACTCAGTATTGTTCAGCCCACGTATCCAGTTATTTTCATGCAAGAAAAGCAAACGGAAACTACCTTTGATGCTTTCCTCGGTCTGAAGGGCAGTAATAGTCAAGCAAACACACACAGCCCCGGGCCTCATGAAAGCCTGCCTTACTAACTCTGGCACAAAGTGAACTTCTCAAGTTGAAAGCTATTTACAGCACAGCGCAGACTATCACTACACCACGTAGAAATTATGACTGAAAACTGCGCCTTACCGTGCGACAAAGAAACAAGCAGCTACAGAGAAACTGCCAGCGCAAATTAAAAGCGAGATAAACATCAAACCTAATGGCCTGAATGCGACCGATACGCCCGCGTAAAACCGCAGCACGCCTCTTGACCCCCAGGCCGGGTGGAAGGGCTGAGCACTTTGCAAAGAAACATTCCCACCCCGCGGCTGCCACACCGGCGCTTGCCCGCGCTCCCGGTGCCCAGGCCGGGCTTTTTCCGCTCAGCCCAGCCCCGCATGGAGCAAGGCTCCGCGCTTCCTGCCAAAGCCAGTGTTTAAAGACACCGGTCGCAGCTCACGCCGGCCCCGCGGGGGACAGCGCCTGAGGCATTGTTAGAGACGACCAAACCATAACGGGGCTGTAAGGCGGAGTAAGTAGAATCCCGGGGAGCCGAGAGAGGGACCCAGGTAACAACCCCCTCCGACCTGCCTGCGCCGAGGGACGTCGCGCTGACGCCTCGCTCCGCGCGGGACGGAACATGGGGCCGCTCGGTGGAGCGGGGTGAAGCGGCCAAGATGAAGCAGCGAGAAGGCTCAGCCCGCCCTTCCCCTCAGGGCGGCCGAGGGCAAAGTTCAAACCCGGTCGGAGCGGCAGGAGCGCGGCTGGGCGGAACGCGCTGCCCCGACCAGCATAGCCTCTGCCCCGCAGCAACTCACCCGACGGAAGCCGCCGCCGCCGCCGCCACCACAGCCCCTCGGCGGCCTCCCCGCCGCGCCAGCTCGGCAGTGTCCCGCAGTACACCGCGCTTGCGCGACCGCCAACGGCCGAGACAGCCGCTGCCCCCGCCCGGACCGGGCGAGGCGGGGCGCAAAGCTCCGCCCCCAGCGCCGAGGGGCGGGGCCACGCCGCCATGTCGGGGGGTGGGCCGGGGGAGGGCTGTGCCGCGTCAGGAGTGGGGCGGCGTGGGGATCTGCATTGGCGGGGGGTGCGCGGGGCGAAGAGAAGCTCCCCGTGGTGCTAACCCTCCCCTCCTCTGCCCTGGCCTCCGTGGAGCGGCAGAGCTGGCGGCCCGCTGCATCCTAGCCCGGTCCTCCTCTCCCCTCTGCGGGTTGTTCTCTGGGGGCAGGGGACAAAATGTCCAGACAGGAACCTGGTTCAGCACCGCGGCTCGTGACCCTGAGCAAGGGGCTGCTGTTAACCCGTGGAGGCGCGGGTAGGCTTCTGTCTGCTAAGTCAATGCGTTTTACTGCCAACGCAGTTTTCCCCTCCTGGGTGAAGAACAAAAGAGAGTTTATACATCTGTACGTGGACGGGCAGCAGACAAAACGCAGCATTCAGCGGGGACTACAATAGCATAGAATGGGGCCAGTGTCTGTGACAGCCGGCTTGTGCCCACACCTCTGCTCCAGCCTGCCCGGCTGCTCCCGCAGCACTGGCGCGGAGTTGCCCCAGCCCTTTGTCCTTCCAGCCGTGCGACGGCAGGAACAGCCGCACACTGAGCCATTTGGCGATGGAATGCCTCATTATGCTGGAAGGACTAATTAAGGGCGAGTGTTGACATACGTGAAAAGAAGCTTTGCCAAGGCCTTGCACGGAGGACAAAAGAGCAGCGTGGTGGTTGGAAAGCAGAGCCCCCGAGTTCCCCAGGGTACATGAGAAAGGAGAGAAAGAGACAGAATCCTCAGGGAGGCAAGAAGCATTTAGCGGAGTCTCCCCGCTCGCTGGGAGCTGTGATTCTGAGGTGTTTTGGGCCCCTGGAGAAGTCTCACTTGGCGGGATGGATGGTGGTGCTAGGAGCTATCCAAAGCAAACACCGCGGCAGAGCAGTCAGTGCCTGGGAACATGCACAGAGTGGAGCAAAAGCAGCGATTTCCTGTGATCCATGGCTTGCACCTGTGTGCTTTTTAATAAGGGTTGGTTTTTTTTCATGATTAGTGATGCACTGTGAAACATTTAGAATTAACCTAAATTGAACAGCCACAACCAGCTAATTCATATTAATTAATGGGAAATCCACTGCGAATTTACAAGTGTGATCAAAGGTGATACTTCATTGAATGTCGTCTTCATGTGGGACCTGTTCCCACAACCCCTTAATTGTAACAATTACAATCACATTCTTCAAAAGCACTGAAATAAGTTGCTTAGTCTCAGAGTTCAGTAAAGGTGGGTAAAAGAAGTAAAATCTGCCCCTTGACAATTTAAATTTCTTCCTCTTTGTCATGTATATCACAATGCACTAAATCCTTAGAACACAATTTGGATTGTCAAGTCTTAACTGGATGAGATCTAATCACAGCTCCTGCCTGTGAATCTTCAGGGAAAATAGTAAGAAATTTTCCCTTTGTTTTGGTATAAAAGACATGAAGTCTTTTATTCAAACATACAAATTTCTGAGATTCTATTCTCCCTGGATTTCTTTACTGTTTTGAATAAACCGATAACTTTGGATAGAAGGCACTTGTTTGTCACAAGTGTTACTTATGGATTCTATTAAATGAGGTTTTGTATGTTTAGAACTTAAAACAACTATCATACCACATCACCGTTGAAAAGTCCAAGTAATTTACAAAGCCCTAGGTAAAACTTCAGAAGGTTGTTTTGTATTTTCTGGACTGTTTTATATTTTCTTACAATATTTTAAGCACATTGGCTCCATTTCATTAAACACAGAAGTTCAGTACTATGCTTAACTCCTACCTGGGGGCCTTTCCTGTAAAAAATGTACAGACCCAGAGGTAAGCATGGAGGGAGGCAAGATTGGATTTACCTGGTGTAATGATGCAGGCTTCCCAACTGCAATCAGGTATTGATTTAGAAGATTAAGTCTATTACTGGAAATCAGAGTACAGCTGGAGACATGCTGACCTATTACAATAGGCATCGGTGTCCTAGTGAATATAGTGGTTTCTTAAAAGCCCTTCTAAGTACAGCTGTTCTCCCTCAGGACTGAAACTATTGACAAAGCATAGGAGTAAGAAAAATCTTAAGGAAGATTCTTCAACCCCTCTATAATGTAACAAATCAGTTTTTCTTAAAGCTGAATATTTTCAAGTTGTTACAATCAAGATGTCACTAAAATCCTTTTAGACTGTGTGTTTCATACAGCTTTTTCTCTGGCAAGAAATAGTACGCAAGATGAACAGAA